TTAATGATGTATTTTCTGTTATTCTGTTACAATGAAGATCAACGTGGTGTTAGGTCAAATTACATTGGCTGGCTCCTCGACTGGCTTTGAAAACATACTTTTTTCTGTCGAGATAAGATATAGATGATATCGACGACATCAGAAACACATACACAGTGCCGTTAACCATAGACTAATACACTACTACACTAAAGGAATAATCGGTTGAATATATACGCCATGTTTAAAGGCACAATTTCAAAAAAATCAGAAGTGGGTCGATCAGGCCGTTCCCTGTAAGAAATATTATGAAATAAATGAACTTAGTAAATGTTTTTCGTTGTTCATCAGTTAAAAAACTAAACCCATTAAATATCGATCGAGACGATGGCAGTATATTTTAAGAAAAATAAACGTTCGTTTCTAATTTGGCTAGACATCAGAAAAATATATAGTAAAATCGTACGCGCTTGTGAAAGAAACAACGTGTTGTTATTTCAATGAATTTCAAATAAACTTACTCTTTCCGTAATAATTTCATAATATTTCGTGTGAGAAATTATCTGCTTATAAACATTGATCGATAGTTATAATAATAACGACGTGATATCGTTCGTAGACTGTAGAACGAATTTAATGTTAATTAGTTATCGATCGAGACGAGTAAGATATCTTATCCACATATTTGCAAGGTTGACTCGCAACAAAACAAAACATAAAATGAGGACGAAATAATTGATAAAAATAACAAAACAATGATAATTATTGTAAGTTAAAATTATGAACATTTTTACGTTTCACTATATTATATGTGTAGACTAACGCGCGTAAACAGAAATACTCGTTAAGAATAATTGTTTCGTAAATAAATCTGATTACCTCGCGGTGACCTCAAAAAATAAGCAATTTTAAAAAGACTACGCAGTGTTATGATGAAGTATAATACACCGTGTGCTCACTCACTCAGTAGCAATCTCAAACTCAAACCGGTACTGCGATGAGTTATGTTTTATGAATATAAATATTGTTCGCAATGAAGGGTATAATAAAGAGACAAAAAAAAAGAGATTTGCGTAGTACGTGTTAACAATGATGATCGAGCTTAATTTATTCTATCTTGATATTTTATTCGGAAAAAAGAAAAAAAAAGAAAAGATAAAGAATTAATTGACTTCCAAGTGAAGAAGAAGAGGGGAAAAGAGAGCAAAATTTTTCTGATGTCATTCTACTAGATTCTAGTCACTAGTGTAACGCGTGATATTGAGACATCACCAATAATAAATTAACGTTTATCGACCTAACACAGGTATACTTAAAGGCAAATTTCGTAACATCTCCTACCTAGAAGAATTTTGATTTGTTTTTCGGTATCGACGGTTAATTACGACACACACATTCGATAAATACGAACTTCCGATATATCCCTACGAGTTCTCTTTAAAAGTAGTCGTCAAATACTGGGCATTAGACTAAAAATATAATACACTCTGACAAATCGTGGTCATTGAAGTTATCAAAATAAATTGGTGTATGTAATTTCAATCATAATCACATTCCGTGAAACGATTTATCGCCAATAACGAAATAAACAAACTGGTTATTGTTAGAATAGTTCGTTACGTTCAGTATTACGTAAAATATTAATACGCGTATATATGATTATCGAAACATGTTAATCCAGAATCTCTTCTCCGTCGTTATCATTATAGTTTTCAATAATATAAACATCAACGAAATTTTTCGCTAATCGTGATTAGTAATGCAAAATTAAATATAGACCAAGGTCTTAATTTATCATTCATAAGAATTTAAACGATGTTTATATAATCACAAAAACGTATGATTTAAAAAGTTAAAAAAAAAAAAAGGTTATAGATTGCAAATATTCGTTGGTGTTTACATAGTCTCAAATACTTTGAATAATGACATTGTGAATGGATGAAGTGTGAATTAAAACCCGTTATGTTATTTACGTGATAGAGTATATGCGCATACTATTTCCGTAATAACATCGAAATGTTGAATATTCGTAGGATTTTATCCAGTCTTAGTGAATAGAATTTGACAAAATGATATCACCGTTCTCATGTTTCCATACGATATAACTAGTCAAAAACAAAATCGATTAAAATGCATCATGCAAACAAAAAAAAAAAAAAAATAAAATAAAAAAAAAGAAAAAAAAAAGAAAGAGGTAAAGGACAAGCAAATTTTTTTCGAGGACAAAACGGACTTAAACTGGTTTTCATCCCGTCGTGATGTTTTTTCGTTGGAATTCTTGCGACGTTATATATGCATAAATAAATATATATGTTCGTATATATAAATATATAGAAAGAAACTTGGAATGACGCACTTAGATACGCTGAAGATAGCAAAGATCCACAACGGATAGGATTATAGAAATTCATTCATAGAATTCATAGAAAGCATTGAGTTGTTGCGAAGGTAACTTATACGATCTAACTTGTTAAGATTCGCCTTAGATTGGTGATGATTGAGTCTATATTGCAAAGGCCTTGAATCGCCTCAACACCCGACCAACAACATCACCGTCATCCTTCAAACTCAAATTTTCTATCCTCGACGACACAGTAAATTTATTACAAACGTAATCGTCGTTCGAGATGACACGAATAAAACTTACCGATTGGTTCTCATCGATAAGAGTTTGCAATAATGCAAATACTTCATTTGTCCAGTCGAATTTTTATCGGGAACATAAGTACTTTATTACCAATAATATAAATGATCCAAATAGTTCGTTATTTAGAATAAATTCTTTCGTTGATGTTAAATATCAATCTTTTTCTGCTAATTAATGTTTTCTTCTTTTTTTTTCTAAAATACTACTCTTTAAAAACGAGTATTTAAATTTGATAATAATAATTAAATCAACACGGGTGAAAAAAGGAAATAAAGAAAAAGAATAAAAAGATGTGAAAAGTAGAAATATCATAAGGAAAGAGTTCGAACAAAAAAAATCAACTTGATGTGTCGCCGTGTTTCTATCAGGTTAAAAACATCGATCGGCGTCTTTATCGTCATGACAACGTATGTATACATATATACATATATACATATATATATATATACATATAGGATTGCCTATCGGACCGATGTAAGACGATCCAACACGTTCTACAATGTGTCGCACGTGGCAGCCCATGTTACAGGGCTACAGGGATACCAAGGGAAGGAATGAAAGAGTGCGAGAGAGAGAGAGAGAGGAGCGCCGGCGCACACATTACTCTTCTATTTGTTATCTCATCCCCTCCTTCTTAATCTATTCTTATCATAGCATGCCAAGAATGCACTTTCACGGTTTCGCCAACACGCAACTTGAAGCGTCGTCTGACCTCAGCGATCCTAGTCTCCTCTCTGGCCAGATCCAAATCTTCCTATGTAAATGTTTATACGAACATCTTAATAAAATTTAACACATTATTATGTTTACGTTATAATATAGTCTGTTAAAATAAAAAAAAAACTTTCCTTTAAATATTCATAGACCTGTATATATATCTCATAGTACCAATAATATCTCTCGTTCTAAAAACTGGTATATTTTTTCTACAATTTCGTATCTTTCGCTATATTTAAAAAGTATTCACTTTCCTTAAATTCAATCATTGATTAGTATTAAAATAAACAGATGCAAAGTTAAACGAGTAATTAAAACGACTAAACAAGTTATATTATTTAACAGAAATTTATATATTCCTAAAGGTATTCAACTAAAAGAATGTTTCTTTCGAAAAAAGAAAAAAAAAAACATTAATCAAATGAAATATTGTCTGTATGAAAACGAAATATTAAATGCTTATTCCAAAAGATAGAACTTTTCTTTTTTTTTTATATATATACAGAAAATAAAAATGATATAAATGCAACATGATTGCATTGATAATAATTATAGCTTGGAAGCGTCAACAATACCACTAATCGAGGGAAGGGAGCGAAGTTCAAATCCGTCGATAATCACGTGTTTGCTCGCTTTTTACATGTCGTGTGCGTGCATGTAGATGCGCATACGCGGATGCGTAGGCAGAAAAGCAAGAGAACACATAACCTACAAACTGTTGTCGCATATAAATGCAGCATCGTTACGTCGTAACATTATTCAACGTAGTCGATTAACATAACCTCAAAAATTATAATCAAAAGAAAGAAAGAGAGAGAGAGAGAAAATATGTCATCGTATTGTTCTTTTTCTCAAAACAAACATTTCAAATCAAAGAGAACACAATTTATACGTATATATGTATTTGCCAACACTGTGATTTACATTTTCCTTGTAAAAATAAATATATCCTTTTGATCGAATAACGAATTAATGAATACGCATCTATAATTTAATTGTAAATATAAGACTAACAATTGTATGTGTGCGCGCGCGCGTGATCGTAAAAATGCGCGTGACGTGATAGATTGTTTGGCACGCACCCAAAGATAGTACACAATTCATTTTCAAAATATAGACCAACCCACCGAATATCATTCATTTAGAATATAACGGTGTAACAAAAGAAAAAAAGAACCATAATATTTACGAATACACATAAGAACATACGTCACTAGGCTACAATCGTTTATCTCCCTTTGATACGTTATTGTTTCATGTCTCTATTCGATTATTTTTTTGTCTATCTCTCTCGCTCTTTCTTCTATCTTCCTCGACCTTTCCCCGCAACACCCCGTTCGAGTTGTTTCTTTCACCACAAATTTTGTTTTCTTTTTTTTCTTTCGCATATTTCTTCGAATTCCTTGACAATCCTTCGTATTCTTCGCAGATCTTATCGTGATAACAATTGAAATTGTTTCGACATCGGGCATAGATAAAAGTATGAGCTTAGTTCGACCATCGAATGGTGATACATTCAGCCATGTTTTGTTCGATAAAGGATGGAAAACGAACTGGCAAGAGCAAGGTACGCAGCAGGGCTATCTCGTCGTGCGCCGGCCGAACCATTTTGCAGATTTTCTCTCTCTCTCTCAGTAGCCAAAAAGCAACGACTTACCGGCCGCGGCTTTGGTGCTGTTCTTCCCATAATGCCTCCGGTTTTTCCTATCCCATAAGCGGCCCTTCACCAACATCGTACACTAGCTTAAACGCAATTTTTCTCGCTCCTACTATCGCGTCTACGCATTATTATTCACCCGCGGCGGCAGCCATTTGCCCTCTACCTTCTCTCGCATCTCAAAGCCTCTACCCCGTCGTTTCGTTTAGCCTTTGGCTTTCAGCCATTCCACCATTTGTGACGTCAGCCAGGAACGTTTTAGGAAACGTTCGAACCCTATTCTTTCGACCTACGTGCTGAATCGTAAATGTTTTTTACTTTAGTTTTGTCGAAAATTCATTTCAGATAGAAATATAAATATTCCCAGGATACCCATTTGGAACGTTTTCTTTCGATCCAAAAAAAAAAAAAAAAAGAAACAAAAAAAAAATAAGTCATTTATTTGAATTTCTATCTATTTTAGAGTATGATCAGAGTATTATAAAAATAGTCTACGTGTTTGTAATACTACCTTACCGACAAATAATCACACATGTTTCTTCATTGACTAAAAATAACGTAGACGTTGTGTTATTTAGTATCTTCGAACTCTGACAGGCGTGAATGGTTGTTTCTTTTTTCTTGCCCGTTTAAAATGAACCATTTTCATGGAGGAATAATCTGTACAAGCAGTAGAACTAGTATGTACAAGATCTTTGAGAAAGTCAAATTTGAATAATCATTATTAATTTATAGTTAATCGATTATAAATCAAAATAAAAAAAAAGGAACTAAACATGGATTTTCTCGATGGGAAAAAATGGCAAGGTATATAATAAAGAGTTAGCATACATGTGTGTGTGTAGGTACGGCCTTTTACTTCACACAACCAGGATTTCTTTCGAACACATATTATTTTCAACACAAATCAAATTCATTTCAATGGTAGCCAATAGCACAAAGAATGCTTTCAATAATTTTGAATTTGTATTTGACCAAGGGCATTATTTTGCTTTTTTTTTTTTTTTTTTGTCCATTTCTTTTAACTTTCTTGCACATTACTTGCTTCTGTCGTTGTGCCACTAAGAGACAATACCAAAGCTGACATGAAACCATACATACACTGTATAACTATATATATCATCGCGTAGAAATCTATAAGTCTATATATATAATCTATATATTTTTATGTATATATACTTTTTTTTTTTTATGTATTATAACGAAAAAAATTAAGAAAGAATCGTAAAGTACGTACACGTACGGGGATATTATAATATCGAATTGCATTTCGCCAAAAGATCGCTATGTAAAAATGAAGGTCACTTTGTTTCTTGCTTCATTCGGAAGGAAAATTTGTAACGGAGATATTATGAACGTCTTCGAGTGTCTTCCCTTCGGTTTGCCGCGTGAAACAATTAATCGTATAATATTACTACTATTCGGCATTTTAAAAGTAAATATGCTCGCGTATCGATGATGTAGATTATTACTTTCAGGCATTCGTTCCTAATTATTTTTTTACATCACCGTATCACTTCCTGCGAATAAACCTTTTGCAATTATTTTCCAATTCTTAATTAGATATTAGGAAGTTTTGTGAAAGATCATTCGCAGATGAAGAATACTGAGACAAAAGAAATGATGAAGAACGAATGAATGCAATTTAATAGTAATATCACTTTTGCATATGTGTTGTTTTGTATCCACGCAATTTGTGACGATACCGTGACCAGAGCTATGATTAAAAACTCTCTTTACGTTACCACAATTAATGTTTTCTTTTCGTATTCGAAATTTTTCATAAAATAAATTTAAAAAAAAAAGTAATATCCATATATATATAAAAAAAAAAAAAAACACTGTTCTCGACCAAAGAAATCTTTCGTATTATTATTAAAGGTAGCTCCTTTTTTAAAAAACCTTCCAGCGATGATATATAACACGAAAGATATAAGTCCTCTAGCCACGGTATCTATACGAGCATAGAGGATTCTCTCTCTCTCTCTTTCTTTCTTGCTCTCTCACTATGATTTTTTTTTTTTTCACTCATTCTTTCACACTTTTTCACTTTGCCACTACACATTTTGACAAATAATTAGGTCATCACAGAAGCATCATATTATTATATTCAATTAGACTATATATTTGTGAAAGAGTTTTCATCTGTTAGCGCAGTAATATTACAATGATTGAGTATAAAATGGTTTCAAGTTTTCCAAGCCTAGTATAAAGCACTGTTATAATATATATATATATGTTATAAGTGTGCTTATATGTTGGCACATACCACACATGTATGCCAATATATATGGTATGTGAACACACATATGGCCGCAAATATTACTTAAGATCTAATTATAGCAGTAATAATTATCTATTATTTATTCTAAAAACTAAATAAAAACGAAAAAAAAGCTGCGTGTGCTGAGAATGAAAGCTCCGATGACGTTATGAAGATAAATATAGAATTATTTCAGTCCTTAGAGATAACAGCCAATGTGATCATCACGCATGTCATTTCTAATTATTAATCGATAAAAAAAATAATTGTAAGGCTTGAAGAAAACATTAATAAACGTTTGACAACAATAGCACATAACTGTAAAAAATAAAATATTATATATTTTTCGACGTGGCAAAATAAACAGAATGACATCAAATATTCTACGTGTGATTAGTTTTGTTGTATTGATTTTTTTTTTTTTTTATTTTCTCGATTGTGCATGCAAAAAAGTGTCCTAAAACATTGTAACATATTATTATTTCTATTTTAAAACTCATAAAATAATTATATTTAAGACTATAATCGACTTCAGATTGTAGAATGTCGTAGAAAGATAGAAGGCAGTGTTGTATGCACGTATCGATAAAAAAAAACAAAGAAAAATAACAAAAATAATAATCACAAAGTCCAAGACGTCTTGTTAACTAAAACCTTTTATTTATTAATTGAATATTTTAAGATATATGACAGTTATATTACGTCTCTTTTTTGTTTTATTTTCTTTTATTTACTAATATCATAATTTAATAATAATAAAAATGAATTCTACAAGAGAATTATATAATAAAAATTAATATATTTAATTTAAATTTATTATTTGAATTATTATATATTAAATTAGGTAAAATAATTATTTATAAATTATATCAAAATTAAATATATATTTCAATTGAAAAATTGTCAATATAGAATTCATTTTTATTTATGATTATGATATTAATTGTAAATAAGAACAAAGAAGAGAGGAAATCAACTTTTAGTATCTTATATAATTCACTAAATAAATAAAAGCGTTCAGTTAACAAAACGGCGCGCCAGTGAACGATTCTTTCAGCAAGAACACGCAGGGAGGCTTATTACGAGAAGGCTTAGACTTTGAGAAATAAAAATTAATTTAGCCAGAACTGGCAGTTTCATTTTCGACAGGTAGGATATTCTGATCCTCTCCTTTTCCTTTCTGTCCGTCCATGGCAGCTTTCTTCTGCCTGACGATTTCTGCGCGTTTTTCCTGTTGAAAAAAAAAGAAGAATAAAACGAACGTGATTATTATATTTATTAATGTAACAAGAAAGTATTTATTTTTCATAACTAGTCTAATGTTTATATATCATGCTATCTACAGCCAAGGCAAACGTACATTTTACATACGTTTGCTTATATAAGATAAAACATTAATTTATTGAACGAGGATGAAATTTTTTTCGTTCGTAGAATATTTAAACTTCCTCTTTCAATAAGTAATATTAGATCAGTATCTGTACTAGATGGTTGAATGCTATGAAAAGATTGATTATCCGATTATCGATGTCTCTCGATAATCTCGGATACTTAAAGATCTCGTGCATAAATTCTAGAAATATATATTCATGTATATGTACGCGTAGGGGTAAATATATTTGCATCGGATATATGTGATGTACAAATGCATGGCCATGCTGAAAAAAGTGAAAGAAAATGATAAGTACACGTCATGTGTATAGAATTATAACGGCTCAAATTTGCAACATAATGTGTCGAAGCGTTGTGACATTCCCTCAAAAAAAAACAAAAAGAAGAAGAAAAAAAAATACGAAATGAAATAATATCAAGTAAAATGATGAAATCGCGTTGTTTCGTGGGCTATACAAACGCTTTTGTCATTTTCACTAAACAAATAAAGATCAAACAGAAGGTATAATAAGCCGTTATTTATCACAGGGATATGATATATACGATGAGAATAGAAAATCAAGAAAGAGGGAGGGAAATTACATGCTCGCGAATAGCCTGCACACGGCGTTGAATCTCTCGCTGTCGGTTTAGCTCCGCAGTGGATACCCTCTTGTCAAATTCGAATTTTTTCACCAGAAGATCTCTCGTGGCACACTCATCCACCATCTGACGTACTTTCGCTATCTTCACGGTATTCTAAATGACCATGTCAAATCCCTTTAAAGGGTCTGTATCATAAAAAGAGGGGATAGTTACAAGGAAGGATTTCTACCGAACGAAAATTGGACGTTAGTTTAAAGGCAAATAAGAAATGAGAGATGCATGCCGTTCTTGTTGTTGATGTTGTTGTTGTTAGATTAGAAATCCTTCCAGGATGAGCACGAACTAAACTAACTTTTTAATACGAAAGACTATAATGATAGGTGAAACTGACGTAGAACTTACGTAATTGCGTAATTTTTCCTTCTGTTCGCGTTCTAGACTTTCACGGCGTTCACGAGCTTGATCAAGCTTGCCTTGAATTTGCGATTCCAACTGTTGCACACGTTCGGTCATACCTTGACGTACACGAGCGGCTTGTTCCTCCTACAATTACAAACGACTTTTCGTGATTAATGAAATTTAACAGAACAAATAATTGTTTTATTATTTAATACGGCTTTTTGTAAATTTATTTATAAATTAATCGTGATACTGACATGCTTATTAAGACGATCCAACATTCTTTTAATGTTTTCGTCACGTTGAGCAGCAGCAGTCTTAAGTTTCTCTTCAACAGCGCATCGTACTTCTTCGGTCTGCTGCTCGAGGCTCAAACGAGACTTCTCTACGCTCTCCAACTATTATAAAAGAAAAAGAATTATTTAAAATAAATTATTATTCAAGATTAATTTTTAAACATTTTTTTACGTAAATAACCTGAATTCATAAAAATTAAGTTTTTGCGATCGAAGTCATTCCCTGTTAGCGATTCAAAAAGAAATTCTGTGAATGATGTAACATGGTTCAAGAAGAGTTTTATGATGATTGTATCAAATTTGTTGTCATCTCTTCTTTTCCCAGAGTTTTCAAGATCAGTTGAAATTCAGTTTTTACAAATAAATCTGTAGTTGTTTTATTTCTATCTTTTGGCCAATACTGAGTCGAATTCGGCAAGAATCATAACATCTCATTCAGGAAAACGTATTATATACTACGCTAGTGTACGCTTCTTGATATATGAGCATTAGATGTTATTGATTTAATCTTTCACATAATGTAAACATTTATTTCTGTAAATTGCAACACGTTTAACGATTTCGAGCGTGAACTGTTAATAGTCTTACGTGATTTGCGTGTACATAATAACTACGTATACAGTATTGCTTTACAGTACTGACGAAAAGATCGAGATGATCTCGATCTATGGAAAAAAGTTTGTCATGATTCAGTTTTAATACATCAATCATATGCAGAAAGATAGCCCAATAAGCATTATCTATCATGTTTCATATTCAAATAAATTATTAAAAAATTTTAATAGATTAATAATTTTAATCTGTAAAAGAAAATCTGACTTTTGATATCAACATAACAGTTTCCCGGCACATTATGTAATAGTATCTTGATAAGTTGTCAGTAGGAAAACTTTTAGACGTTAGATCGATCGTGGTAATGTAGTCAATTAACCAGCACACTCTCCCGCCGATTTCGTTAAATTCCCTTCTATATTCAAATTATAGGTTTATCTCTAAAAATCTAAATTTTAACTGACTTTGAAAAATCTATGGAAAATTAGAATTGAGAAAAATTTTGGTTCAATTATCATAAAACTTTTCTTGAACCTATGTTACATTAGTCAAACAATTTTCTTTCAAATCGCTAGCAGTTAAATTAACTAACAATAATATGAACATGTCCCAATATTCTGATTGCAGAAAATATAAAACTATTAACTCACGTGCTCTTTCAATTTATTCTTAAGCTCGGCAATATGAGCTTCTCGCTTCTCTTCGGTATTGTTCATTTTTGCGTCCAAGGATTCGCGAGTAGCTGCTATGAATGCGGCGCTAAGTTCATCTTTCTTACGAGCGACCTCTTCGATCTTGCTGAGTTTCGCGGCAAGAGCAGCGATCTTATGAGATTCCAAGGTAAATCTTCTTTGCTCAGCTTCCCTCAACTTGTCCTCGATAGGAATCTGTTGAGTTGGGCCAGTATGGGGTGGTGACGGTGCTCTCTTTGGTGCCGTTGGTTCTGCCAATATTACTTCGTAGCAAATACCACCCTTCGATTTTTCTTGGCATCGTATTTCGGTCGCTATAATAACGGGCGAAAAATATTTTCAAATCGATCGTTTCTCTTATTAATATTTCATTTAATCATGAATCGTGCCAAGGATCTTTTTCCTTCTGGTTTTATAAAAAAAAAAGAAAAAAAGAAAAAAAGATGGCCGACGACGGATAAGGAGTAGGAGGTTCTAACACAGAAAAGTAGTTACGGAAGTATGACTCAGACGCACGAGAAGGAAGGATCGATCAGAGGACGGCGTACGATTGTCTGTAGGCGCCGCGACGTCTAGCGTCGACACACGCACCACTTCTCCAACAACCATTTTCTCTCTCTCTCCCTTTTTCTTTTTCTCCCAACCACCCAACATATATCTCCTAGGAGACTATTTCTACGTACAATTTACCGGCGACATTACGGCGACATAATCGTATCGTCGCGTGGGTCATTGCACTTGATCGATATCGTTAATTAATCGTCTTTGCTTGGATTTATTTTTTCACCAACATGAAAATGACAAAAATTAATAAATAAAATAGTCTCTCTATTCCAAACCAATTGTATAACAAAGCAAGTCCGACATTGATCACATTATTTTCTCGGCTGAACAAAAAGAGAATATTTTTCCACCCTCTGATTTTGGTGGGCAGCCAAAAACTACCCCCAGAGATAAAGTATTCATAAGGGCAGATTCATTAATTCGTGCATACCGTGCAATACGATGTTTGATTTTTGGTGAACTATGCGATGTTTGCGTAACGAGTTTCCAGGATTTGACGATGCACTGATAGATGATGATTTACTTATGAAACAAGATTATTCTGAAACGTTATTAATAATGACTGCTGCACAATGTACTTACTAATGAACTTCACCTTCTTCGGTTGCTTGGTTCGCGCCCCTTTTCCATTGGGCTTCTTGAAGGGCGCATTACCCTTCCTCTGTCCCGCTTCAAATATTGACAATAATCAATAAACCATTGAGAAATTGATCGTAAAGTTATTACGTGTATTTAAAAATAATAATCATCGGGATATATTTAATTTTAATTATCGAAAAAATTGATGCAACTTTTCGGAGCATCGGATAACTTTGTTGGCCATCTTGGGCCGCACCCTCGTCACTTCCGAAACAAGTGCGTGTACAAAAACACGTGCGCAAGAATTTTTTTTCTATGGATATTTGGATTTTTTCCTGATACGATCAGTTGTGTAATAAATTAAATCAGCATATTACTAAATTCAAAAATAGATTATATCAAAACTTAATGTTCGATTAGAAATGATGAAAGTTTGACAAAGGAATTATCTTTGTGTAACAATAATTCAGTACTTTCATTATTAATAAATAGAAAGAGATTGTTCAATAAGGAATGTTAAATAATTCTAGTAACAATTTATGAAATTTTTCGGAGGTTGATACCCGCAAATACACCTATGACTACCTGATTAAGGAAAATTGATCAAACTGCAGATACTCAGATACCTGGTATAATATAACACTACCGAAATATCGATTAGCTTGAATTGCGGTAGAAAAGAACTTTTCATCACGTTTTTCTTCTAAGATTAAATATTAAATAAGCAAATTAAAAATATAGATCAGAAGTAATTATAACAATATCAAATTACATTTAGCAGTCAAGAGGGGACAGATTTTCGAAATATACCATCTTAGTTATCATATAAATAGAAATCGATAAGAAAAAATTCAATATCTGACCGAAATCACCGATCTGAACACAAACTACCTTTAAAAATAATGCTAATTCTAAATATAACGAAGAAAATGTAAAATCTAATCGCAATTCGACACTCACCTACAATATCCAAAGGTGCTTTGCAGCTATGACAGAAGCACTGCAGCATCGAGTCGCGCACTAGCCCGATAAGCATTTTTCTGATGTTCCTTTTTCAGTTGTCTTCTAAAGTCACCAGGGGTTGGTTGGTTGCTTATGTTTCTCGATTAAAAGAAACGGAAGAATAAGAGAAAGAAAAAATAGAAAAAAAGAAATATGGACAGATATAATTAGAGATAGATAAAAAGAGAAAAAGAAGGGAAAAAGTAACGTAACGGGCAGAGAGAAAAGGAGAGTGTTAGAGGGCACGTCGGACCAGCAGCGTAGCAGATGGCCGGAAGTGGCTCCAAACTCGTATCTGGGGCGGTGGCTGAAGGGCGACTGATCCAACACGGTGCGCCACGACGCCCGGCGTCGCTCAATATCCACCCACCGAGGTGTTCTGCGCCCCATCCAGCACCCCGCCCACAAAAGCCAACCTATACCCGAACAGCAACCACCACTCCACTGGTGAAGAACGACGCCTCTGCGTCGGGGCTACCAACGGGTCTCCAACGTACCGGCTTCTACATGCCTATATTATGGATCCAACCTAGCCGGTCAATAGGCACGTGTATGGAAGTACTACGTGCGCTCGTAAAATACCATCTGTCTGACCAACCCCTGTCTCTATTACGCTATTGCCTACTACGAGTCATCCAAGTACTACGGTAAAATTCGTAGGCAATTTTTCTTCCTTCTCCTCCTCTTAACCCCCCAATCCTTTCTCCATCATCAACTCGTTCGCGCACGTTTTTTCCAAAAGATTTTTCGAACGGTTTCATATTTTTGACAGTAAACTGTCAACCCCTCTTGTCTCTACCCTTCTTTTTCTATTTAAAAGAACGTTTCTTTCGTATCAACGTTTTGGTGCTGTTTTATGTTTTGTTTTGTTTTGTTCAAAATACAAGAGAAATTCGAATTTTTAATTAAAAGAGTTTAATGTGAAACAAAGAAAAAAGCTCGACCATTATTCATTGAAAAAACGGAAAAAGTTGGTTTGTTAATTTCGTAAGAATTTATTGCTATTCCGTGGGGGGGATGGATTTGAACTTGGAGAAATTTTAGAACCCGAGCTCGTACTTTTCTGACTGCATATAAAAAGAGAGTAACATATTTACGATAACTGCCATCGTGACGGTAGTAAACTTATTTCTCTGCATGTGCACACACACACACACACACACACATAAAAGAGAGATATATATTTTATAGTTCTTGCGTGTAAATTAATTTGTTGAGATATATTTTTCAAGATATATTTACCTACATTATAAAATATTCTCTTTTCTCTATTAGATTAGCCTAGTATAGCATTTATATTAAATTAGTTCGAATTATTTGAGTTCTTTCAAATTAAGCAAAGCTATAAAATATAGGTTAGTCTTATAAAACAACTTTACTTTTTATTTGTTAGTTTGTTCGGTTGTTGTCTTTTCTAGTCGACGATACCTTATAGATCAATTGAATTATATAAGCAAAACGGAACTAAAAAGATCACACGATCGTGGGAATTTGTTTGTGCGTTGTCAATGAGAACTCCTGAGAACGATCAAAAACAATCTAGTATAAAATGTAGAAAGTACAACGAGCTAAAACCATATTCTTTAATTAATAATGTTATTAGTATTTAATTGGATTCCACAAAGCAATAAATCGTTGAAAAACTTAAGAGAGCAGCCAAAACAAGAAAAAGAAATGAGGAAACGCGTCTTATCGTTCAGTAAAATACACACGTTTATTATACTGACTCGTTTACAAATGGAAAGAAATTCTAAGTTTCTTTGCGTGACAAGGCAAAAGACGTTAGTTAGTTTCAATAGATATACTAGATAGTTCTGATTACTTTTATCGATTATAATAAATTTATGAATCTTAACGTTAAAGAAATTTCTAATAATTTCTAATAAAATGTGTGATCAAAGAAACAATTTAAACAACATAGAACGATACATTTTCCAAATGCTAGGTCTATCTTAACTTTGCTATGTTTAAAATGTAATGCCGGATATCTGTTATTCGTTCTTTTTCTGTCTTTATTTCTGGTTCCTACGATCGATACGCGTCTCACTTAGCAGTTGAGGCCCCTCAAAAGACGTGCCAGTACCGTATACTCGTTTCCATTTTATTTAACGAAATCGAGATCTATACTTCGCCCTTGAATTAATTTTAAAAAATTATTATTGATTTTCTTCGTCGTCGAATGTATTCTAAGTTTGCTTATCTCTTATTTTTCATTCGATTTTGGATATTTAGATTTATTAAAGTATTAAAGTCGAGTATAAAAATAACATAATTTCACTTCGCGCAATATCAATTTATCCGTTAATGATATCGCTAGAGGTGACTAGAAAAGCTAGTAGTTGATAACGAATCGATAAAGGTTAATGACTTCGTGTGGTCCATTATGGTTGAAGGATGAGAACCCCTGAAAAGCAAGCAAACAGAGGCAGGCACAGGCCAACTCGTACAGCCACTGCAGTCGACTCGCATTGCAGTTGCCACGGTAAAACGTAGCCTGCACTCCTTCGAGGACACCAATAGAGGGCTCTGACCTTCTCCCCTCTTCATGCAGTGACTATCCACGCAGTGTTTTCTGCAGTCTTTAGGGTGTGTTCCTACCGTCACCTAAATTGTCTGATTCTAATTAAGGATCCTTAGTCAGAAAAGTCGCCACGCATCGACGACTCACTGGAAACTCGTTGCGCATCATTGTATAGCTGTTTTTATTATTCCTTCGTTCGATAAAATAGACCGACTACTTTCGATAATCTTTCTTTTGCGATAAAATCGATACTCTTGGTAGTAATGACGATTAAAGTTTCTTTAATGTGAAAAACGCTACGTATTAGCTTGATAAAATTTGATCGATTGAAAGGATACAAGGAAACTTTGAAGCAATAGTATAATTATATATAATATCTTATTTTCATTATTATTGTTATTAGACTTACATTCGGTGGTAATAGGTGATTCTGCAGTGGTGGCCATAGTTGAACGTTAACCTGCAACGTAAAATTGCATCGGTCGATTAGATATTGTCAGTACGCGAATAAGAAGTTACTTTATTAAAGCATTTATGAATTGCTTTAAAAAGCTTCATTTTTCTTTACTTTACCCTTGATAGTTCAATCTGCCTACCTCCCTCTTTCCTACACAAACCTCACATCTACGAAAATAATAAGATTTCTGCCTGGCCTTCGTCATTTTATGGCAACGCCATCGAGGTCTTCAGCTCTTCAACGTGTATAAACCCGAAAGGGAACAAAGAGATTGGCTTGAGAAATAAGGCGGACGCTATGCATAGTAGCTCTGTTCGCTGTGATGTACTTTCTGTATGATGTTTTTCATTACCCTTTATCGTGTTACTCAAGAAGTTTCTTTGTTTTGAATATTATGACTAAAGATAAAGTCCAAACAATCAATTATTTCATATTAATTTCTTTAATTCTTTTAGTAATTGCTTTGTTTGTAATTGGTGTTTGAAATGTTTCTGACAGAGTACTGGAGACATTAGTATGATTTTTAACAACAACGAGCAACAAGATGTGATTAAAAACAAAACTTTCGAATAATTAATTCTTTTCATGGAGATATATAAAATTATCTGAAATTGAATATTAACATTTTCTATCTTTTTCAAAAATAAAAGAAACAAAGAATAACATCCTTTCTTTCTGAAGTACAGAAAGAGTCTTGTTGACCATGTCTAATACGCATGATCACAACGGGAAACGTGCCGCAGTGTTACGGTATAAATCGAATGAAAGGAACACTGCAGTCGCGTATCAACATTACGAAAGAATTGATCGCTTCCATAGAAGATAAAAAAGCATAAATCTAATGATAATTTAGTCTGTGTCCAATCACAACGCAGCAAGCATATACGCTCGTGAGCGTTTTATTGTCAGTAAAATGTAACACAAAGAGATTCGTGCACCCCTCATTTCATTCGTCTTCCTTTCTCTTTTTTTTAATTCCGGTATGATCCTTGTAAAAGTAAAGTTAATTGTTATTGTAAATTGATTTAAAAAAAATAATGCGAAAGTCTAAATATGAATATCATTATAATTTTTGTATTTAATTGTCAGAAAAAAATTGAACAAAAGTAAACGAATTAACGAATTTCTTTGTCTGAAAGTCACGTCATCTTGACGTTACTGTCATATTTCAAACTTTGTAGGTATTGTCTTTCTTTAACTTACCTTCAACTGTATGTGACTTCAACGTAAAGATGAATTAAATGAAGCTCGCTTTGTCGAGATATTTTCCACTTTTGATAATGACAAATACAGAAGAAATTGCACGCACTCTCGTCAATAATGCACTGTGATCTGAACGTTCGCCCAGCTCCGCTGGCTGCTTTTATCGTAACGTGCCTGTTCCCACTGTTGCCTTCGGATTCGTTACACGTACGAACACACACGCGGTTACCGATGAAAGCTCTAGAAATACGAACGACGTCGATTGGTTAACATTCGCGATCCTAACGCCATCGGGAGTAGCATCACTAAGCACTCGTATTTTCATTGGTCCATTTAAATTTCGAATGTTATTCTAAACGTACAAATTTGACACGCGGTAAACACTTCGACAGACGGCGTCTCTACGCGCGAAATAATATCTCTCAATGATGATTGATATATTTAAAAACTCAGCAGGAGATATCTTCTAAGTACTTGCTTTTGATTGTCAAAATGTTACGCTTTCGACGACTTTTCTTTCGTGCGTGATGTGCGGATTGAGATATTCGTTTTGGTTTATTTGTCCCCATAGAGTTCAATTTACATTTGTTAAATACACAGCTTCTTCATTACAAACAATTGAAAACATGTTGAAATATTTTTTTTGTCTGAAAAATATTACATTTTATTTGATTATTGTTTTGAAATCTATGTTTTATGATACCTAACGAATAATAGTAACACATAAATACGTTGCAAATTAATAAACATTGTTATATCTTTTCATGGCAGTTAACGGTTAAATCTGTTAAAAAAAATGTATTCTGGGTGAATCATATCTGAGCCTCTTGTAACGAATGTTTGAATGCGTGGGAAGTAGTGACTGTTGTATGTGTATATAGGCTTAAAAAATGTGCTCCCGAATATGGATAAGAGGTTGAAACTGGTTTCAATGATTTTCCATGAAGACAAAGTTCTTTCTATTTTATATCTTTGAGTACTTTCATAATAAATAAAATGTTATACACACAAATTAGAATTAAAGTAATATTTTAATCAAAATAAAGTACAGTTAAAAAACTCAATAACGATTAAAATTTAAGATTGGAACATTTTTTGACTTTAAGATGTAGCTTTAGTTTATTTTCTAGTATTGCATTGAAACTTATTCATAAATGTAATAAAAATCAAATATAAATAAAACATATCAACCTTAACATAAATTAATAAAAAAAAGATTAGGATTTTAAAATAATAATTGAATGAATATACATCAGCCAAAATAAGGGAGTAAATAATTCCTATCAATGAAATAATCATATTTATGACTAAGATTACAGGAAAGAGTTAATACCTTATTGTTGTCTCTATAAATAAATAAACATTAGATTGAAACTGGCTATGACCTTTCGTGGTAATTTCAAATAATGCATGTCATGATTATACATGAATTTGTATTTCTTTGTTTAAAATAAAAACAAATAAAGATTGATTTGTTGTTTGTATATTTATTTATTTATTTAATTTATTAATATTTTTTTATATATATGTTTTTTTATCGATTTATTAAATCATTAAATAAACCATTACCTGCCATCTGTCGTAAAATAAAATAAATCACCGGAAATGAAATACGTTTGGTGGCGCTAATGCATCTGCTTCCTTTCTTTATATATACATAGCTTAGAAGTTGACTTTCTGAACATTGCATGAAATTGTGAATAGAAACATTTGGGACTTACGTGTGAGATGGTCAAAGTTCAAATTGAAACTACGATAATTATTTATTGAAAATGACGTGTAATAAAGATCGAGACAATGACCATATTTTAAAGAAGTTAAGAAAAAGTGACGAAAATGAGGTTGTAAATTGTAGAAGTAGTACGGACTATAATGAGGGGCTCAAATTACGGCAAGGAACCGATAGTTTTCCAAATATTAATGAAAGACCAGTCGACGATATATCTATCGAATTCTTCTACAAACCACATACTATCACACTTCTTCTTATTTCGATAACTGCTGTAATTTATTCAGCTTTTACAAGGTACTTAGAATGGAATGGTAATAATATTTAGTCATGTAGATGCATGTTTAATAGTAATTTATGAAATAACAATATAATCACTCCTATGTAGGAATACCAACAATGTGGAAGACAACATGTGGGCTGGCATGTTGTGCGTTATCTTTTTCTTCCTTATTATATCAGTGCTTACATTTCCAAATGGACCATTTACAAGACCGCATCCAGTTGTTTGGAGGATTGTCTTTGGTTGCAGTGTACTTTATTTGATGGGCTTACTTTTTATGTTATTTCAAAATTATGAAACCGTTAGGAGAATTCTTATATGGGTGGATCCTGGCTTAGCATCTTTTCACATAGACATGGATAAGGAATATGGTGTTAATTGCTCAGATATTACAATAGAAAAAATATGGAATCACTTGGATGTGTTTGCTCTTGCTCATTTTCTAGGCTGGGCCTTTAAGGCTATTCTTATACGTCATCTTGGTATTCTTTGGGCTATTAGCGTTATGTGGGAAGTAACAGAAATAGCATTCGCACATCTACTACCAAACTTTATTGAATGTTGGTGGGATGCTTTTATACTTGATGTTTTAGTATGTAATGGTCTTGGTATTTGGGTTGGATTAAAGATATGTTCTATCTTGGAAATGCGAGAGTATAAATGGGTCAGTATAAGGGACATAGAAAGTACTACCGGCAAACTAAAAAGAGCAGTGCTTCAATTTACTCCTGGTAGTTGGACTTCTGTAAGATGGTTAGATCCAATGTGCACTCATATGCGATTTGTAGCTCTTTGCCAACTTGTTATTTTCTGGCAAGTTTCTGAGCTAAATACATTCTTTCTGAAACATGTATATGAGTTTCCGCCTTCTCATCCATTTGTCATAACACGATTGGTATTGATTGGCGTAATCGTTGCTCCATCAGTTAGGTGAGAGAATTTTTAAATAGGTTAACATTAAACAAATTTTTTGAAATTAAATTCTTTAATGCATTAACCTAATAGCTTGCATGTGCCTTAACATATCGAATGTCGGCTTTTTTTACTCATGTTTTACGTATTGATAGGTTGAACTTCTAATCATTTATTTTTTTGTACATTTCTTTTACTGTTAACAAAACACGGACAATGGTTTGTAAAAAATTAGATAAACAGTCACTTTACAAAAATTGATTTAAAAAATGTTTTGTCATAAACCAGCAATGTGAGTGCCGGCGTTCAATGTGTTAATTTTATACTTGTCTTTTAAGCCAAAACTAAGTATATTATTGCAGACCATGAAAAAAAATATTACTGCTTTCTTTTTTTATAGGCAATATTATATGTATGTAACTGATCCATCATGCAGTAGAGTAGGTACTCAATGTTGGGTATATGGTGCAATTATGGTAACAGAGGCATTACTTTGTATACGTCATGGCGCAGCTCTCTTTGAACGGACGCAAGCCTTAAACATACTCCTTTGGCTTCTTTGTCAGTCTCTAGTTTCTGTGTTATGCGTCTATGGGTGTGTTTTATGGCATCAGTACTTTGAGGTATGTAGTATAATTATTAACTATAACTCTTTAGTGATTTTTTAACTAACTAAATTAATTTGAGCGTGTTCTGTCTGCAACCTTTACATGTTGCTTGCTGTTCTAGACGGATAAGAACACTGTTAAAAAGCAGTCTGTGATCAAACTACATGAGAGCTGCTTGGATGTAACTTGTAGTGGTATGTGTTAATACCGCATCATTCGAAAATAAAAATGCTGTCTATAGAAATGTTATTTAAGTATTGGTTGTAAATGTTTGATTTCTATTTATTAAATATAATGTATAGACAGCATATAAATTTTGCAAAATATATATTTGAGGGTTTCAAAACGTTCTGTGAAAGTTATATTTCTTTTCTAACATTCTTACGTTTAACACTTATATTAAAGAAACAACTAATTTATTCAATTGTGAAATATTATAATATACAATAGTACAAAATTTTTATTAATGTCATTTTTATATATTTATCATGTCTATTCAAGCACTACAAATTTATTTTAAACTTAAGAACTTTGACCATAATATATTTTCTGTTTCAGGGGATCTGGCACATCACACTAAATCTGTGGATTCGGTGGATAAGAAAGGACAGTAAGATAGTCCCTTGTAATAATTAACCAAATTAACGGTTAATTTATTAAACTATACAACTTTCTAGTCGTTCAGAAGCGTACGAATGAATTTGTAAGCTTAGCAAAATAGGACTGGATGTGTGCACGTACGTTTTAACTGTTATGAGCGTATGAATGAATGTTTTGAAAACAAATTTTGTTCCTGAGAATAAATGCAAAAGATTGTTATTCATATTTTATGAATACTTTAAAGGCTAAGTTTTCTTTGTGTTACGATTATTTTGAATAGATATCTAAATCTTTTAATACGAGATCTGGAAAAATATCACAAGTACTACTGGGGACAATTTGTGATCCTTCAGAACAATTCCATGCTTTGCCTAGTAAGTTATTGTTAGATGCAGAAATGAAGACACGGATACGGCTAGGTAATTCTTCGTTTTCATGGAGAGAGATATAAGATGTCGTCAATAACGATTTCGTACAATACATCTGTAAAATCAATTATAAATATTTTTGGATTTCAGAGAATATTGCTGTTATTGCAGCTTTATTTAAAAAGTGGAGTGTGAGAGAGGGGGAGAGAAATAGAAAGATAATAATTAGCAATAATTTAAATTTAACTGCAAAAAGGTACCTGAGCATAAATAAGGTAGAATGATTGATTTATGTTTGGTTTTAGCCATGGAAGATAACTATATGAAAACGGTTGTAGTCTGTTAAAAGTATCATATGTTAATCTAAGTCCCATGATTTCGGATAGACGTTCATTTAATGTCAATTCTGAAATCTAAAGTAGTTTTATATAAGTCGAATATAAAAAAAAATCATATGTGTGCCATGTGCAGTGTTATGCATTACCTTATAAGATATTGTCTGAGAAGTATGTGGCAGTGTGATATTCTTTTTCCCTTCAGAATAATTATCTTCGTGACAAGTTAAATAGTCTTTAAACATTGTTTTTTCATAATTGTTTAACAGAGGATAATTAGTATGTCGAGTTTGATTCCAATAGTACATACCTTAGGTATAACAAATGCTGCCATTATTTAATAATAACAAAATTTTTCAAGGCCTTACTGCTATTAATTAGAAAGTTATATTATTTTATATGTAAATCATACTTATGTGACTATACTACCATTTGCATCAAAATGATGAGAGATCTGACGTGCTATTAAATTTCCAATTGTCGCCCATGTTAAATAATTAAATGAATTTTCGTCATTTGACATAAACATGTCACCATAATCTATTGCACCAAAAGGTATAATAATAAGATTCAAACTATAAATTGCAATGCCTTCTGATTGAAAAGGTGTAGCATAGTGTGTCCAACTGCAATGTAATATGTCAAAATAAAAAGTGTTATTGATATAAATAAAATAAATATCTATATATATGTACATTTGTTTTGGTGTACCAAGGTTTAGATCCAATGATACAGAATATATTGATGATCTATATCTTCTCATCAAATTTAAAGAGTTTTCCAAGTAATTGTCAGATAAATTCAACTAAAATGAAACATAATATTTTACAAATATATGAGAATAATATAATTTATACAATTAATAAAATGATGGTTTATTGCATGTCATTCACAGCTAGGAAAATGCAATTTTTTAATATCTTATGTATTCAAATTTCTGTCATACCTTATATTTTTCTTCATATTCAAAATATGAAACTTCTGGCACAGAAAGCTTAAGATCATTTAACTTTGATAGTAATGCTTGACGTTCATTCATTATCCAACTTTTCTTTTGTATATTAAATTGTAGAGTTTTTTTAAGTTCATCGAAGAGTATTTTTATCTAAGCATTGAAGCAAATTGTTATTATACTTTGAGTAAATATATGTGATTTTACAATATTTCACTATAATCTTACCGTATGATTCATAAATATATTCTCTTTATCAGATAGTGACATCATATATAAATTAGAAGCTTCAGGTTCTAATAGATTTATACTAACTTTGAGACAGTGTTGTTCCATATCTTTATGTTTTGATATTATTAACTATAAAAAATTATTAAGATAATTATTAAAATAAAACATTCTTAATGTTTTAATTTTAAATACCTACGTCTTGATAAAGTTTGTGTGCATATAAACCTAAAACAGCATTGTGAAATTCTTTAGGTTGTTTTTTCCAAAAGATTTCTAAATTTTGTAAACCTTGTATCATTTCTTTATAAAAATAAACTTGGAATTTTGTATCATTTATTTTTTTAGATGTTAATGAGTATATTAGATTATACCAATTTATCTGTAAACATATTTAGACAAATTTTAATGATAAGAATAGATAAAATTAGTATTTAATTAAATATGATGCTCACAAATGTAGTTTTATTATTTAATTCATCTATTGACACTTCAGTATAATTCTTCATTAAATATGCTTTACGAATTTCATTTTTAGGTGGAAGTATCTATCAAATTAAGAAAATTAGTAGCGAAAAATATTTTTCACAATACATATATATATATATATATATATATATATAGAAGAAACAATTTTACTTACAGAAGAGAAGTCTTTTACTATGTCATCAATATAAATTCCTGTCGTATCCACGTCTTGAGCTATATTTTGTGAATCATTAAAAACTCCAAGTATCTTTAAAGCTTTCTTTATAGAATGTATAAATCTTGTATTATTTTGCTTTAAGAAAGTATATGAAATACAGTTTTAATTTACATAACAACTTTTATAAAATTTCAGAATATTTTCACTTCATACCTCGCATGTTAAATAGTTTTCATAAAGATTTTCAAGATCAACAAATTCTTTTTGTGTCTCGGTTTCTTTTGCATAGCAAGAATCATCTATGTTCTTATTACCAAATAGATTTTTATGAAGCACAGGTCCTACTTTAATAGTAAAATAGCCAGGGTTGTTTTCATTAAGATCCAGAGCCACGTCAAATAATAAAGGACTTAATATAAAGAAACAAATTAATAAGTTATATAAAGTGTCGATCTTTCATAACATCAAACGAAACTCACCTGTATGTTTTTAATAATTTAGCATACAAGTTCGTGAAATTTTCATGATCTTCAAAATTTTCATTACTCAAATAAAATTTTCCTATTTTTTGTATTGCTTCATTTGCTGCAAAAGATTCCTTTGTATTTAGCAATATTAATTGTATTGAAATTCAATACTTACCTATCATTATTCTTTCATTTATATCTATATTTTCATATTGTATACAGCTATTGTAGTATTTTGCAAATAAAGATGATGCATCTCCATTATCATCCTTTAACATTTGTTCTGTAAGCATTTAGTAATTTTTATAAAATTTCTCAATTATTTAAGACATGATTATGTAATTTAAAAATCAAAATTGCATACTAGCTATTCTGTGATATGCCTTATCTGCCAAACTTAAATCTATGATTTGTGGATTTGCTACCATTCCACCACAAGCATATTCATAAAAATCCTCACATGGATCAGCAGAATGATTCATATAGGATAATATCCTAGCAGCTATTTGTTTACAATGTCCTGAATCACATATAGTATTATTTGTAATGACGTTTGATTCTATGTTTGATGTCGTAAGTGCATTTGTTTTTGTTACAAATTCTTCTATTGTTACTGTTTTCTCTGTGGAAGTACTTTCCTTTTGTGAAAAGGTAATTTGTGTAGAGTCTGTTAATTTTGTTGTTAATCCGGTAGATTTATAAGCTGTTGTAGTTGTGAAAAGTTGATCAGTAATATTATTTGTTAAAAAAGAATCATTATTTTTAGTAATATCTGTTACAGTAGAAAGTGCAGATGCATTTAGATTGAAAAAAGTGGGCATTGAAACTGTGGTTGTTATATTATTTGGTTCTTCTGTAATAGCGTTTGTATTATTCGTAGAATTAATTTGATCAAATGAGGAATTATTAGAAAAAAATGCATTCTCTGTTAAAGTAGTAGAAGTTGATATTTGATTATCAGTTTCAGTTTTATCATTTGTCATTATTTTTGAAGTCATTGTAGAACTATCATTTTGTTTGTTTTCAGTAACTTCATTATATTCAAACAAGGTTTCACCAGTAATATTGTCATAACGGTTTGGTTGTTCTGTAGACTGTACTTTGTTAACAATTGTATTAATTTGATCTTGTGAATCTGTTGATTTTGTATCATCATTCAGAGTATTAACAGAATCTGACAGAGTTGTTAAGGTATTTGTTTCTAAAAATTCTTGCGTTGTTGTTTTGTTTTCGAAATAACGATCAAAGTAATGAGATGTCTGCTCATTATTACGTATATTTTTGTCTGTAATATTATCGACTGATCTGTCCATTGTGATTGTAATTGTAGTTGTAGTTTCTAATTCTTTTTGTCCATTGCCATTTTGCTGTATTAGTGTTTATCATTTCTTAGAAATATTGTATTAAATGCTAAAAAAGAAGTTCAGAATTATAAATATTTATTAAACTTACCCTTGCCATTACATATTTGTCATCATCCTTAGTGTTAGATTTTCTCCATGTTAAATTTGCAATAAGAACGACCATGAATAAAATAAAAAACACAAACAGCGTAGCTACACAATTTTTAAAAGATTGATCTCTTTGCGCTATTTTACGCTCTTCCTGATTTGCAAGTTGATACGAGCCGCGTGAAGGCATTTTACTTTTGATAGAATTTAATAAAAGTCTTCTTCGATATTGATTATCTGTGAATTTCAAAACACAATAAAAAAAATATTTATTTAACTACATATAGATATATATCATAGATATTATTATTTATATTATCACAAAAGAAATAAAATAATTAAATATCATATGTAAAGTATCAATAGAAGTGCACAATATGAACCGTAACCGTACAAGTCCTTTTTGGCTGAATTGAATTTTTTTTCTTACCAGTTGTTCTTAACTAAGGAAATCTTGTTTTGTGGTTTTGATAACCACATCCTTCCAAATATAATTTTAGAATTAAAGATAGGCAGAATTACGTCATACACGTTCATTAGTTGCTCACTAATGAGATAAAATATACATGATTAATTTGTATATATTGAAATTCTTTTCTATTCAATTTTAATGCCACTGGTTCAAAAGGCAGTAATTAAAAAATTTAACATAGAGAAATATAAGTTACTTATGTTGTTAATATTTACAATACAATTATCACAGATATGTAAATTATAAAATATTGTACGCTATTTTAAAATGCAACCTGTAGTTTTTCAATGATCCCATTGCACGTACTATGATAATAACTTATTTATATATATACTAGGCTAATTATATGATTTAAATAGGATTAAAAAATATATTTAAAAACTATTCGCCTGCTTGATGCATCGTATATATATTGGTGTTGCGTTTTATTTCACTTCCGATTAAATCGGATCGTATAGTTGGATCGATTGTCGAACCAACTTCTTTCGAATCATTTGATTTTAACATTTCGGAGGTAATCTGTAATTAAATGAATATTTGAAAATAATATTCAATTATACAGGAGAAAGCAATTCTTATTTAGAATGTATAACTACTTTTCTTTGAATTTCATCAGCCTTAAATTTCTCTAGTTTCTCCTTATCGGCGACTCCAATAGCAGCCTTTGATGACATCTGTCTTTTTGGAGTAGGTTTTCTTGGCTTAAATGAACCAGATGCTTTTTTAGGCAACTGAGAACTTGTGTGTTTTTTAGTCTCACTTGACTGATCACAATTGTGAGTAATTAATTGATCCTTAGTTTTAAATGCCTAAATATTATCATATAAAATAAGTTAGTAAAGATCATTTATAATATTTACATAAACTAATAATATAAATTAATACTTACGTGTGAACAAATATCACATTTTAAACTATGTTTATTCAGTTCATGATGTTTAAGAGCTTGCGCTCGATGAAAATTACGATTGCAGTGACTGCAACTGAAGCGTTTAATATTACTGTGCGTGAGGAGATGTCTTTTTAATTTGTCCGGACGTGAAAATTCACTCATACAACCCAAATATCCTCTAAATGGACATTTTAATCTTTTTGTCAAATCGTGAATCAGCATATGACGACCAAGTCGATCCTTTCGTTTAAATCTAGCTGGACAATGCTAATATTAAAAAAAACATTGAAATAAATTTGTTACGTAAGAAAACTTGTTAATACAATCATATATAGATAAAATAAAGTATAAACGTACTGGACACAAAAAAGGTGTTTCCTCGCTATGAATTAATTTATGATTGGCTAAATATTGTTCTGTCTTAAAGGCTTTACCACATTCTTCACATGCAAATCGAGCAGATGAAGCATGTGTTTTTAAATGCCGCCTTAAAAATCTTTCAATTAAGAAACTTTTTCCACAGTGTAAACAAGCATAGTCATGTGTAGTGGTTTCTGTATGATGTTGTAAAGCTTCCAAATTAGAAAACGATGATTTGCATACATTACAACAATAATATTTTTCTGTTGTTTTTTGTTTTTGGACGGAATGAGCATATTGATGGAGTCCTAAGTCTGATAAAGTATTAAATACTTCACCACAAACATGACAACGATATTCCGACCGTTTATGACTACGAGTGTGTTCTAAAAAATCTTCAAGTTCAGCAAACATCATACTACAACTACTTTGCACACATTTGTACACTTTTAGTGCTAAATGAGAAACTATAAGATGGCCCTTCAGAGCTTTGTACGAATCAAATATTTCTTTACAGAATTGACAATGATAGGTACGATCTATACTTCCATCCGGTGGTACCTATCAAATATTATCAATTCATTATAAATCTAATACATAATAAAATGAAAAGTTATATTATAAAATAATACCTCAGGTGGCAGTGAGTGTATAGCAGTTCCAGGCCACACTTTGTGCGATGACATATGTTTCTTTACATTAGACTTTTGTGCAAATGCTCTTCCACAAACTACGCATTGATAAGGTTTTTCTCCTGTATGAGATCGTTCATGCTGTTGCCAGTAAAATTTTTTTGCAAACTGCTTACTACAATAACCACATTTATACTGTAATAACATAAGTAAATTTTTGAACAAGAATATATAATATATATATATATAGATATATATATACATTAATTAATATATTTAAAACAGAGAATGGTAAAAATGTGTACTTTTAAATTTTGTGCTTGTTCAACACTTTCCAGTTCTACGGATACTGTGTCAGGTGATAATGTTTTACAATGTATAGAATTAACTAAGTTTTCTTCTTGAAGGATGTCAGTTTGTAAAATCTGAGGTACCTCCTTCGACTCATTTTTCATAGATTCATTATCTTCTATAATTCCAGAATTTGTAAAGGTATCAAGACTTTCGGAACTTAATATAATTGGAACACTAAATGTAGAGTCTGTTGTAAAGTAATTTGCACTGTCTTGGTCCATACTAGAGAAGAAACATTATAAGAGATTAATATTAATTTAGTTTCAATTGATTTAAAAAGGTTAACATCAAATGTAGACAAAATTTGATTTACCTAAATAACATATCTGTTTCTTCAAGTATAATAGATCCTCCTAGTTGATCTGTTCGTACAAATGATTCTTGAGGATTATATTGCGGTTCATCTTGACTAGTATCTTCAGCACGTACAATATGACTTTCGTCATTTACTAAAAATTGACTCAAATCTACCGTTTGTTCTTGCGTTTTTTGATGTGTCCTTTTATGCAGAACGAACATGTGAAGCGATGTGAATTGACTTTTACATTTTCCACACTGAAATATGTCTTCTTCATCTTGATCTATTGCTAAAAAAAAAATAATAATAATAAAAAAACATTCTTATACTATGATTTTATTGGAATCATTGAACAATTCTTGGTGAACATTATGTGCTATGCATACCTGATTGTTCTACTTCGGTGATAAGATTTTGAGATTCTAATAAAGATTGTACAGAAGGGCTATCGAGTGAAACACCTACGAAGGGATACGAAACGACGTTAGTAGCAAATTTATTCTTTTCTTCTTGTAAATATTCATACTATCCTCTTGAGTCTTTATTGGTTAACCCCACCTACTGAAAACACTCGCAAGTTTTACCTGTCAGAGCGTCGAAAATAGATTGTGCCATATTTCACTGTAAATTTATTGCTTCATTTTAAAGGAAAAGTAACAATTGATTCATTAATAAAGTGATTCACATGAGTGGTCTAATCTGTCAAAAAAAGGCAAACATCTAGTCCAAAACATATCGAAAATTCCTATACTGTGATAGCGTTGTTGCTGCCCAAGGCAGTGCGTGTAAATCGATATGTCGACCAACAGCAACGATTCTACATTTTAAATCGATTACTTAATATCAACATGAATCGCGCTGAATGAATTTCAACCTACAAATTCTTTCTCTTTTCAATTAGTAAGAATTTCTTTGGAGAAACAAATAAAACAATCAATAGCAACGATCAAAATTAAAATTATGAATCATTTAGTCATATATATTTAACAATTCGTTAAACAATTTTTGCTTGCAGCATAGTTTGAAACAATTGAATTGAATTAAAAGAAAGATACTAACAATTTATGAAGTAATAAAACATAAAGATAATTATTAATTATTATCATTTTTCATATAAATTCATGGATTATGGTTATTTTTGTTTGTTTTATTTTTTGATTATTAATAATACGAAGATAAAATTGAAAAATCGATAATCGCATGATAATCTTACGATAATCGAAATAGGAGAGCTTTTTAAAGCTAACATTAGATGGCGTTTCGTATAGCATTGGCAGCACTGCGTAGTTAAGAGCTCGAAAAAGCTACAAATAAATTTGGGTAGTGGCTTTACGAGCTTCCCGTAATATCGTAACCTTAATAGTTCCCATTTAGATTAAATCGTATTTAATAATCGTTATTAATGAGTTAATCGTGTCCTTTGCAGGGGTATTAGCAGATATTTATTGTTTAAACGCGAATAAAGTGTCGATATTATACGAATCAGTAGTGTTTCATTGCAGTGCCGGTTTGTTATTGCATCTACATAGAAAGAAGAAGATTATTAGGCAATGGGAAACATTCACACTTGTGGTCCAAACGAAGCCCTCGTTGTATCAGGTACGTATAACATTTTTTATCTAATATTTATATTATTTCAAGCAATGCGGAATGTTTATTTAGGACTGCTATGCTTGAATTTTGAGTAAGTTATAAGATTAAATTGAATGACATTTCATGTTTTATTTAATATTATTTAATTGCTAAAAGATTCATGCATGCCAAAATTATTTGCATATATCTTATTACACCAAGAATATTTCTAACTTACATAGCATTAATGTGTTTATTTTTCTATCGATAACATATACCTTTACAAGAAATGTAGACAAAATCTATATTTTTATTTCTCTTTTTGTCTTCTAATTCAGTGAACGTAATCATCATTATAGAAATTAGAGCGAAACTCATTTTTAGATAACTTTTATTGAAAATATTGAATTCCAAATTGCTATATGTATACGCATTCAGTCTATATAATACTATGGTCTATTGTTCTTAATTGTATATTAAATACATAAGAAAGAGAGATCGCTGACTATAATTATAAACTTAGATTAATAAATAAGTTGTATCGGTTATAGGCTTGTTAAATTATTGATTGTAAGAGTAAGCGGTTAATAGAAAATTAGATGAATATACTAATATATAATTCAAAGCAAGTTAAACCGAGATATATAAGTATTACATCTTTTATCTCCAATGGAAACAATGAAAAAGTTTAAATTAAACATAATTTAAATAATTATTATATAAGAAAAATAGTAAGAATTAATTGTAATAGTATTTAATACTAATTAATCATGATTATTTTATATTATATCTTCTAATTAGATTTAACTATGAAAAATATATATTAATAAAATGTGTTTAATTCGTAAATTTAGTTCGCTACTAGGAGTCTCTTGCTTCAACGTTGGATATTTATGGGAATGAGTCATCTTACTGAATGGGATCGAAATTCATGCATTCGACGTCATTATCTCTGTTATCAAGATATTTTTTTTTAAAGCTCATATAATTTTATATTTTTACTATTATTTCTAAAAAAAAACAAAAGTTTATAAAAAAAAAAATAAAAATAAATTTTGCAATTTCGTTATTTTTTTTGCTTTTTTTCGGACATCGTAATATTTATCGCATTCGCCTATGTTAGTATATATGTATATACTATAATAGATAAAAGAAACAAATTATTTCCTTTTCTACTTCGCGATTCTTGTTATTGTGGATAAAACATTCGACGAATCAATTATGTGAATTATCACATTGTGGGGATTGCCGATGACGTTGATGGTCACATTGCATTATGCTGGATATGGTATATACATATATATGAAATATAACTCGTCTCTTATTTATCAATCTTGTATTACGTATTCGATCATCCTCGCGTGAGCGCAAGGACACAATAGGTCATAAATGAGGAATAATTACACGATGAGCGCACGTGATCCAATGTAATCATATCTCGGCATCGTACTTGCTCCGAGTTTATAATTTGTGATAGTCAAATGAATTAGTTTTCTTTTGTCTATGTGGTGTTTTTTGCCAGTCTTGTTTAATCATATCAGCAGCTTTTTCACCGATCATGAAGATACCTGCGTTTACATGGCCAATCGGTATAGTGGGCATAATAGAGGCATCAACCACTCTGAGCTTTTTTATACCATGAATTCTTAAACGTGAATCAACGACAGCATAGGGATCTGTTTTCGGTCCCATCTTGACGGTTCCAATTTCGTGATTCATCATAGATGGTAGATATTTGATTGCACATCGCCAATAATTGTCGCTTGCAAACTCGTAGGATTCGCAACCAGGTATTTTGATATTATGAAGTTGACTATTGTACGCGAGGAAAGGTTCCGTTTTAGATATATTGATGGCATGCTTGATACCTTCAAGAAGAATTTCAACATCAGCAGGATGAGAAAAGAAATTAGGTTCTATTTTAGGTGGCACGAAGGGATCTTTCGATGTTAATGTAAGACGACCTACACTTCTTGGACTTTGAATTATTGGCCAGATCGACCAGGCGTCTCTATTTTCAATCGGTTTATAAATTGTATTATAAAGCTCATCTGTAACTCGTTGACCCATTCTAAAACCCTTGCCATTGTCCGAGTGTAACGTGGCCGAAGTGAAAAGTAGTTCGATGTCCGGCTTCTCAGAAGAGGCATACTTTGTTCTGATGAATGCTAAAGCTTCAGCACCGCCAGGAATAGAGATTAAGTTGCTTCTTTTAAATATATAATCCAATAACACGCTCGAATTAAGTAAATTATTGAATAATAGAGACACAGGCTGATTTATCAGGAAGACTAGACCAAGGAAACCAATGTGTTCGTACATGTTGTATCCAACTTTGGAATCTTGAAGTACCTTGATTCCTAACTTTTGGAGATGTTCTTTCGGTCCTATACCTGATAGCATAAGTAGTTTAGCTGAATCGATCGTGCCCGCGGATAAAAGCACTTCTTTTGTGCTGAATACAAGTTTTTGCTTGTTATCTTTGACATATTGAACACCGTAAGCTCGGCGATCTTCATCAATAAGAATTTTAGTTACTCTCGCGCCAGTTACAATATCCAAATTCGGTCGTTTCACTCTAAGATAGGCTTTTGAAGCACTGCAACGTGTACCCTTGTCCATGTTGACTTGTAAATACGAAAAGCCTATTCGTTTTTCGCCATTGTAGTCGATAATATCATAGCCGAGTTTTTTTCCAGCTTCAAGAAATGCCGTGGATAATACGGTATGAAAAGGAACATGTTCAACGCATAAATATCCATCCTTTCCGTGATACGATGAATTAATGATACCTGAAACGTATATATATATAAATTTAACTTCTGTGATTTTTTCTACTTGAAATATTTTTATAAATATTTGTACATAAACATTATTAAGATATTGAAAGAGAAAAATGTCAAGATATCAACCGAACGAAGGGATGATGATTTGGTTAGTCTGGATAACGTTCAGACTTTAGTGAATAGACGAGAAGGGTGAGTAATCGAAACGCGACCATTTTCGTTGGAGGGTTAAAACACCCCTATTCTGAGACGACTAAGGTTCAAACGATCCCACGAACTAAAATTTTACGTGAATTTCTTTTCGAATCTAATTTATTATATTCGTTTCGTTTGTTTATAATATTTTTCTTTTATTGTTTATGATATATTTTAATCTTAGGAATACCTTAATGAGATATAGTAAATAAATTTCATCATAGTAGATTTAATTAGAACTTACTAGGAATGTCGAATTTTTCACTTTTTATATAATACGGTAAAACATCTTCGTAAGACCAGCCGTCGTTGCCCAAGCTTTTCCAGTAATCGAAATCCAACTTGTGGCCACGTGTAAGAATCATATTATTAAGGATACTAGTTCCACCAAGCGATTTTCCACGTGGCCAGGCACATTGTCGATTGATCATTCCAAAACAAGTATTTTCTTGCGGTTCCACATTATAACCCCAATTATAGTCGGTAAATTGATGTAGATTAGTTATTAAAGGAATTTGATGAAATAAATTTTCCGGATAACCTGCCTCTAACAATAATATCTTCCAATTTTTATTTTCCGATAAACGATTAGCGAGAACTGAACCTCCGGAGCCTGCCCCGATTATAATAAAATCGTAGTTTTTCCATTTAGGGTAATACGTCGTTGTAACTTGTGTACTCTTATTTGTATATTCTTTTAATAAATCGAAAAATGTTGCACTTTTTACCGTAGATATCAAAGAAAGTAATAACAATGACAATATAACGATTATTCGTAACATCACGTCGAGAAAACTCAAATCGATTATCTCTTCTACACTTTGGTCCTTTATACAACCGTCTTATAGAAAGTTAAACCAACTGGATATAAATGGATCTGGTGAATTCATTTTACACTTAAAAACCGGTTTTTATTATATGGTGCCCAGAAACGCTTTCTCAAACACATGCATTTTTCTTTCTTGGTTAGAAGATGTCTTTATATAGAAAGTTTATTCAAATTTTTGTTTTTTTTTTTTATATAAGCATATACGCGCCCTATTATATTTATTTTAACCATCATAAAAATCTTTTGTATAAGATTATTTTTTTCCTTACTATTGGAATCACTAAATAGTTTTAAAAAAGATGAAAACAAAGTAAGAATTAGTTTGTAAAAAGAAAACAAATATATATTATATTTATTCATTATTATTTATTCATATTTATATATATATATATAGAGAGAGAGGGAATATATGTACATATAAGGAGAGTATATACAGGGTCTTTCATTTAACTAGACCACCTTAAATATATTGCTTCGTATCAATATTTACATTTACTGTTGTAATATGAAAGGACGAAGAAAAATTAAGAGAAATAGAATACATAATCGTTATTAGACTGAGAGTTATTAAAATTTTATGGCACATGGGGATAATTATACCTGAGGTATGTATATTTCTAGCTAACACTATCTTCGCTGTTAAAAATATACTATCATAAAAATAACATAAAATGTTCCTGGATTGTATCTTTTTTTTCTGATCGTCTCCGTTATTTTACTTCGTACTCTCTTTTAAATATATCGAACATAATATTTTTGATTATTGCTTTTTGCTTTTATCTTTTATGCCCTATCAATTAACAAATTTTTGTGAAACTATCATTTTTATTACTCGGTTGGATAAGATAACCAATCGCTTTTTATAAGATCTGCACCTTTCTCACCGATCATGATTGCTGGTGCATTAGTATTGCCACTACAAATCGTTGGCATTATAGATGTATCGATGACTCTTATATTTTGGATACCATAAACTCTCAATCTAGGATCCACAACCGCGGTAGGATCGTTTGATGGGCCCATTTTTGCTGTACCAACTGGATGATAAATTGTCATGGAAATGTGACGAATATGACATTCCCAGTAGGCATCTGAGCCGAATTTTAGATGTCGACAATCGGGTAACTTCATCCGATATAATCTAGTACCAAACTGTTTGAAAACTTTCGCTTCGGCGAGTTGTACGGATATTTTCGCACCTTCGACGAGAGTCGCTATATCTAACGGATCATCGAAGTAATTAGCGTCAATTATTGGACTGTGAAAAGGATTAGAGCTTCTTAGTCTAACCGTACCACGTGACCTGGGTCTGAGAAGAAGAGGCATGAAAGTGAAAGCATCTTTGTTTGCTATCGGATCGTAAATACTTTCGTAAATTTCATCTTTTATTCCCAAAACCTTTTTGACTTGTATACCACCGTCTGAATTAAGAGACGCCGGTGCCATGTGAATTTGAATGTCGGGATAATCAATAGATTTGTTGGCAAATTTTGTGTTGATAAAAGCGTATCCTTCAATTCCACCAAGAGTGGTCATAGGTCCTTTCCCGTTAGCTGCGTATTGCATAGCTACTGGTGGGGTATAGAAACGTTTCTGAACAATAGCTACCGGTTTATCGACGAGGAAAGTAAGACCACCCATTCCTACATGATCTTGAAGGTTATCACCAACTCGGAGATCTTTCAAAATAGGTATGCCAACCTGGCTAAGATGTTCCTTTGGTCCAATGCCGGAGAGCATTAGAATTTGAGGGGTATTTATAGCACCTGCTGATAAAATGACTTCCTTGCGAGCCCGAATATATTGTTTACGTCCATTTCTCATGAATTCCACACCGATCGCTCTCATGGTGAAAGGATTGATAATGATTTTCGTCACGTGAGAATTCATAGCCGTGTGAAAGTTCCGACGTAATCTTATAGGACGCAGAAATGCTTTAGCCGTGGAACACCTACTGCCTCTTCGAATAGTTCCTTGTGGTATCATAAAACCAGTTTGAAATTCACCATTTATATCTCTCAAATTGTAACCTTGTTCGACTCCAGCTTGTGCAAACGCCACCGCGAGAGGTGTGATCCATGGTGATTCTTGTACAGTCAAATAACCACCCGTTGAATGATAAGGGTTGTTTTTAAGATAGGGATTCCGATTGTCTTCAGATTTTTTGAAATAATAAAGTGCTGTTTTGTAACCCCAGCCAGGATTACCCAAGGATTCCCAATAATCATAATCGTGCCTATTACCTCTGACATAAAGCATGTAATTTAAAACGCTTGATCCTCCGAGAACTTTCCCTCGTGGATAGTTACAACGACCATCTTTCATCGCGAGGCAAGATCTTCCTGTAGGTTCCGTTTTGTACTTCCAATCTAATTTAGTTAACTGCAGATAGGCAGCCAACGAAGGAACGTCAGTTATTTCATTCTCGTCCGGTCCAGCTTCCAATAATAAAATATTCCAATTAGAAATTTCAGAGAGTCTGTTGGCTACCACAGCACCAGCTGATCCACCACCGATCACAATAAAATCGTATTCAAGATTTAGGGGGTATCTATCGATAGGTCGACTTTCTGGATCCAGCTGATCATATTGATAATAAGATAAAGCAGCTATCAAAAGTGGTACCAACCAAAGACTAGTCCCTACTATGCCTAATGCTCCTTTTAATGCAGTCGTTATTACTATCGTGCTGAACACCATCCTTTTCGTTACTTTTCGATAATGATTATTTTTATAAGATCTGATTATCGATTATTTTGATTGTCTCTCTCTCTCTGTCTTTTTATTTTTCGATTCAAGAGTCGACCTACTTTTTTTTTCCCTTTTGAAACAACTTTTATACGGACTTCGTCATAAATCGATATCCGGCGGTCGACTACAACAAGTGTCTTCAACTCTGCGCACTAGAAATATATGTTCGAGATCGGTCTTTTTCATTCTGAGTTGACTATCTCTAGTTGTGTTTCCATGTAAATTTCTTGATCTTCCTGAAATAAGAAAAATATAAATATTATATTTCATTGGATTTTTTTTTTTTTTTTTTTTCACTTTCTCTTTAATGTAAATTATAATGGTTATGTTGAATGAATTTTCTATGTGACATCGTAATAGTCTTACGAATGGTGACGAAAGATCGGTTGGGGATTTTTATATTGGAAACACGTGCGTATCGGTAGAATCATTTCGTTTCTCTTTCCTTTTTCTTTTTGATAAAGGAAAGAAGATGTTGCGATCGCATAACGGAGAAAGGAGAAAGTATTTTGTTAATACATAAACCACATTTGTGTTTCGCTTCTTCCATGAGAGTCACGGTTACGTTACGCATCTTTGAACTTCCTTATTTAGATGAAAGATAACTAAGCATTCATTTTATTATCAATTTATTATATGGTTTTCGATCTCTTTGCAACTAAGATGTATATATATATATATATATATATATATATATATATTCTTTATTAAGGTGTTAATCACTTTTATTATTATGCTTTCACGTTTGAATCGGAATTTAAATCGGAAATACGATAAGAAAAGATCGAGAGTTCGGTTAAAATGTGAATTTCGCGTGTTGGGTGTGCGAAATGTAACGCGGTCACTTTCTTTACTTTTCCTTTCTGAAATAATTTGTTGAATTGGACGCCGGAAGAAGGTCTATTATACGTGAGTTCCGGGATAATCATTACCGTTTCTTCTTGTTTCGTTTGATGCACCTATTACGACGAATTATTTTTGTTGATGTATTTTTTGTTCCTCGAAGGACTTTCTTCTAAAGATTTTAATGCACCTATTACGACGAATTATTTTTATTGATATATTTTTGTATTATTTCTTTTCTTTTTATTTTTTTTTTTTTCTTTTCCAAAGATTGACATTAGAAACGGAAGAAAATGAAAGTATGTTAAATACGAAAAAGGAAGTTGCAAGATATTTCGTGTGATTAATAATTAAATAAAAAATTGACTCTATTTGAGCGTGATTTATTAAAATGTAGATATGTAAATTATTTGTCATACTTACTGCTAAAGTATTCATTAACGTTCCTCTATCGTTAGATACATTTAGTAGGATCGTTATTATTACGAGAACATTCCATTGCTATTTTTTTTTCTTTCACATCGATTGTCGAGTTCACCGTACAAAGAGTATTACCTATGCAGAAAGATATAGTTACTTTTGTTTTGTAATTTGTTTAAGAGCGATTAAAATTGAGAATGCGTGTTGTATGAGTATCTTTCGAGAATATATAATTAATTCAATATTACGGTTTGTATAATTCTTTTATAGATGAATAAAAATGCATTAAATATTAATCGTGAAAAGATATGATTAAAAATTAAGCATTAAAAATAAACAAGTGATAATAATATCCTTGTAATTGCCAAACCTGTTTTACGAATGTTCAATTGTTTATATAAAAAATGTAATGAGGTCATCGGGTAGTAAGTAGAGATATGAAAATAAAAAAGAAAGTCATGAATAATGACTCAATGATATCTATTGATACCCAATGCAAATGTTTATATATGATTTTTTTTTTTAAATTACACACCTTAATTAGTTGTTAATTATTTTCTTAGAGTTTTCATTATGATACACAATCAAGAGATAAAACTAACGAATCCAATCTTTCAATAGTGAACCTTTCTTCTTTTTTCTTGAAAAACTTTCAACGTGATTGACACACAAAACTATTTTCAGTAAGGTTTTAGTCGGTTAAAGATTATTACCACAAGTGACCACGAATATACCTGTAATGACAGTTAGACGTGCGATACATGACTATACCGTAGCTTTTCCCCCCTTCTACCAATTCCCACTCTTTCTCACAGATTTCTTCTTGTCCTTTTCTAATTGTAAGACTCACTGCTTACACTTTGGCAGTGAAAGTGTTTCCTTACTGTATGCCCAACTATCTTCTCTTGAAAATATATCCGGTTAACATTGTATGTATATATATTATCATGAGAGATCGAAATTAAAGAATTTCCACATTTGCATAATGAAATATCAATACATACCACAAATATGTCGGTGAAAATATTAATATTTCGGACATAACAATGACTCTTGTATATTTCCTAAAATGAGCATAATTTTTGAATCTCAGGAAAGATATCATTAATAAATTTCTTTTATTGCTTTAGTTATATTTATTTAGAATAGGAATTTTAATTTAATATTGAACTTTCATTTTGTTGTCAGTATTTATTTTCCAAAAAAAAAGGAAAAATCAATCATTAGTTATAAGCTTAGTTATTACGAAAGATCTAATTTATATTACTTTCGTAATAGTTACGTTAAAAATAAGTCAATGACTAGTACAAAGTACGATTATGACATGTGTGCTTTAAATAATATAAACCGGTTAAACGCTAATATACTCTTCGCTTACAAAAGTACTTTTTTTTTTATTCTATTTTTTCTCTCTAATGTTGTTTTTGCGAAAAGTGCCCTTATAAAAAATTGACTTTCTAATTACGTTGAGAAATGATCGTAAGTATTAAGATGGTTTTTACCAATAATAAATATTTATTTGAATAGATTTCTTAAGTTATGTTTCTTATTTATATATATATGTACGTGCAAATGTGCTCGTGTATTTAAAACAAGACAGTTTTGATGAATTTATTTGTAATTAAAATTTTTTAATTATCTTGTTTAACTTAATTGTTCAAAACATACTATTGGAATTGAATCCAATTATATGCTTCCATTTATACGTGCGATTTAACACGTTTCCTTTTTTGTATACATTTCTTTCTTACGTTATCGTTTAGCAAACAACATTGCATGACAACACGATACGCTTCTGCTTTCACTATTCTCATACGTTGTGTATACAAGAATTTGTGAAATTTATAAAGGCTAATGTATTATCTCATATTAACCTTTCCTCTTACCATTAATAAATATGTTATCTGTCTATAGTTATGTGAAGTTCAATTGATTCACGTGTTCATCTTTTTATTTATAAAAATCAAATAATAAAGTGAAAATTAATTCTATGAGAACGTCTTATGTTAGTAAGAAACGTATAAGAATGGTTACGTAAAAGACTATTCGGGTCCAAAGATAGCAATCATGATTTCGGTCTTCTCGGAAAAATTTCTTACAAAGAGAAAATTTAACGAGAAAGTTGCGTTGCCACGTATTTCATTAACAAGTTCATTCATGACTGGTGTCTCTGAAATTAATACGCTGACATACATTTTTTTTTTTTTTAAGATAATAGTTAACATTAGAACACTTGGTAACATTTATTATTTTATTTTTCAATTAAATAAACTCATATATCAAAACTTTCAAATGGCACGTTTCATTTATTTCTCAGTAAAACAAAACAGCAAGAGTTTCTAGATTAATAAGTTTGAATCTCTATATGCAAAGTATATCCCTAAGTTTAAATAAATATTCTTATATTTTTACTCAACCTTTTACGCGGTTTCGAGTCACTTCTTAACGAACACCTTCTCACACTTATTCAGTATTATCATAGCTTACGCCTTTTTACCACCTCTTTAGAGTCAATAGCACAATCAATAGGTTTTTGTCTTGTTTCTTCAGACAGGTTACCTATTCAGGTCACTAACTATGCCCATGTTGCTTAACTATAGTGATTAGTCGGGAAATAGTAATCCGACATGGTTAGGCCGTGTTGGCATATGATAATAAATATACATATATTTATAAATAAAAAAAAAAATATATATATATATAATTAACTAGATAAATTAACTAATATATATATATATATATATATAAAAGATAATAATTCTAATTATTATGCACAAACTATTCACAAAGTTTTTTTGTTTTTATTATCGCCAGTCTTTTTTAATCATATCACTAGCTTTTTCACCGATCATGATAACAGGTGCATTAGTATTTCCATTCACAATGGTAGGCATTATAGATGCATCAACGACTCTTAAACCTTTTACACCATACACTCTTAATCTTGGGTCCACGACAGCTGTTGGGTCGTGTTTTGGTCCCATTTTGCACGTTCCCACTGGATGATACATAGTAAATGTAAAGTGTCGTATAGCGCATTCCCAATATTTGTAAGTAGCGAAAGGAAATTTTTGACAGCCTGGTAATTTAATAGAATACGGTCTTGAACCAAATCTTTGAAATGCAGTTGTATTTGAAACAGCCATAGCAAGTTCTATACCATCTATTAAAGTGTCTATATCTTCTTTATAAGCAAAATAATTTGGATTAATGTCAGGATGAGTCAAAGGATCTTTACTCTTCAGACGAACCCATCCAGAGCTTTTAGGTCTTAGTAAAAGAGGTAATAGCGACCAACTGTCAGAATTTTTGAGCGGTTTAAATGCAGTATTATAAACATTGTCTTTTAGTCCCACAAACTTCTTAACAGACTCACCATCAGAATTAATGGAACTTGCTAAGAAGTGGAGCTGAATATCTGGATAAGCACCAGATGGATCAGCGTATTTTGAATTAATAAAGGCCAAAGCTTCGATTCCAGGATTAGTTAAAGGTCCCTTATTGTTTATTAGATAATTCAATAATATTGGTAATTTTTCTAAACGTTCCCTATTTAAAGTAACAGGTTCGTTAACCGTAAAGCTTAATCCACCGAGCCCAACATGATCCTGAAGATTGTCTCCTACTCTAAGATCAGATATTACCGATATTCCGAGTTCCTCAAGATGTTCTTTTGGTCCTATGCCTGATAACATTAGCAATTGGGGTGAATTGATTGCTCCAGCTGACAAAATGATCTCCCTTCTTACTTTAACAGTTTGTTTTAAACCGTAACGAAGAAATTCTATCCCAGTAGCTCGTTTTTCGGAATTGAATAGCACCCTTAATACTTGAGCTTTTAAAGCTACGTGTAAATTTGGTCTGTTCTTCACCGGCCTTAAGAAAGCTTTAGCTGAGGAGCAACGACTTCCTCGCCGGATCGTGGCCTGTACGATCATGAAGCCAGTCTGACTTTCACCATTGATATCACGATTTTCATAACCTAGTTCTTGTCCAGCTTGCAAAAAAGCGATCGCTAATGGAGATCTCCATGGAGGTTCCTGTACAGTCAAGTAACCTCCCCTTTTATGGTAAGGTGACTTCTCTAAATAAGGGTTTCTGTTATCTTCAGACATAAGAAAATAAGGAAGAACTTCTTCGTAACTCCAACCGGTGTTACCCATTCTTGACCAATTGTCGTAATCCAATCTAAAATAATATTTCTAGACATGTATGACTGTAATCATTGTGTTATAACGTGAGAGATTATTAAAACAAGTTTTTATGTTTCTCATTATTTCAATACAATTTAAATATACATTACTGTCAAGCAAAAATACATATATATATATACGTATGTAGAGCGTGGCAGGTCACGTAGGTGAAGGTGAAATTTACCTGTTTCCACGAACATATACCATGGCATTTAGGACACTGCTTCCTCCAAGAACCCTTCCACGTGGCCAATTACATCTACCTCCTACCATCGCGAGACAATAAGCTGATGTAGTTGACGGTGTCGTTTTATATTTCCAATCTAATTCCGTTAATTGACTGTAGCCTGCGAAAATTGGTACCTCCGAAATTTCGTTTTCATTATCACCGGCTTCTATTAACAATACGCTCCAATTGGATACCTCAGATAGCCTCGAAGCAACTACTGCTCCAGCACTTCCACCACCAACAATGATGAAATCATACATTCGATTCAGCTGGAGAATTTATTTCCGAAAATGATCTACGTTTCCTATATGTTTTCAATGAAAGAGATAATTATGATAATAATAATAATTTACCTCACGAGTATTTCTTAGAGGTGATTCAGGATCCATCTTGTCGTATCTATATAATGATAGTCCTATTGCCATAAGTGGGATCAGGCCGATCCCAATGGCAGATGTCCTGGCAATTAAAGTAACCAATCCTATTGTCATTTTCTACAATTAAATTTGTTGAGAGAGATCTTTTTAACACAGACAGCGTCGTCGTAGTTTGTTTTCAATCGGATTTTGTCAATAATTATTATTATGCACCATCACTGCATATTTCACTGATAATGTGAGTGTTTAATTATATTTTATATTTTTCATAACACTGACACATTTATTTTTATTAAGATTTTTCTTTTCTGTTCTGTCAAAGAATTCACTTTAAACTTTTACTCACATTGGCAAAATGATGTTAAGCGAAGTGTTTCAATGCAGGCGGTATGGCTAATACTGAGAGTGAAATCTAGTAAGATTCTCGTGCTCCATGCAATAGGTGAGGACGTTCGTATAGCTAAAAAGAAAGAGCGAAATAATTGTTTTTACCAACTCTCTATTCTGCAGCTATATTTTTGTTTTCTAGGAAACATAAGAATATTGACATTTGGAACATTATTATTAATAATAATAATAATAATAATCATTTAAGTTTATCATTAGCATTGCACATATACTCTTGAATAAAAAGAATTTGTTTATTGTTTATATTGTCGACAAAATTGCAATTGGATCAAAACCGATAGATATAGTTAATAGAATTGGATTTCAATTAAAATCAAAACAATTAAAACAAAATTCTTATGTTTTAGAACATATGCATTTACGGAATTACATTGACATCATTTATACAAATGTGTTTATCTTCAAATACTTTCTCTTTTATTTCATGCATCTTCCTTGAGTTATTAGTTATAGTGGTCTTGAAGTAATACTACAAATCAAAACTAATTGGGATATTTTGATTACGTTAACTTTATGCCTTTAAATATTCTTAATAATTTTAATAAAAAAGGATTTCACAAAAAGAAATAAATAATAACAAAAGGTGTTACGTTCGAGTTTACATTTTACTACAAAGCAATGTTCCAATGTCTTTCCTCGGTGTTCTACTTTTTCTTTGAGCGTAAGAAGAAACTACGTTAGTTAGGTCAATTCTAATTAATCTATAATCAACCTTGTCTCATTTTACATTCACAAATATTTTTGTGTTAATATTTACTTTGTATTATTAAATCGCACGTATATAACGAGATGCATGAATACTCTTTATCAAGATATGTGCTGCATTTAAATAAAGAATTGTTTTACATACACTCTCTCTTTTTTTTTTTTTTTCATTCGGACATAGAAATTGACATTCCTCATGTAGAACTGCAACGATTGTGCTCAACGAACAATCACATGATATCTCTTCATTTAGTTTCATATAACAATGACTTAAGGACAACTATAGACATGTAAAAAGATAATGAAATCATATGTTTAAATTTCATATGTATAAATTTTGTTCATTTCATAACAAATTCCCTATGCGATTTATTTTACCAACGTTATCGTGTCCAAAGTAAATGTACAAAGTAAGAAGAGATTTCACCTTCTCGGACTCGATTAATAGAATTTACTCGGAGAAGGTACTTTGGTCTCAAGAAAGTTATCCATGTAAGATTACATTGTAAATTTAAGCGAGTAGAAAGCTAACGTATCTTCGATCTAATGCGTTTTTTTCAATCGATTGGGTATTTAAAACAAAAAAAACCATTTAAAAAAAGGTGTTCTGTTTTTTAACAGATAATTTAATAAATAATAATATTAGAATGTGTTCTGCAATATTATGTCTTCACAATAGAAAATTAATACGAACGGTTTTGACATCATGATATTATCACAAATAAGCATGAATAAATATTTAAAACATATTATAAAAATAATATACTGTATATAAGATTTATTTATGTATATTTATATTAACAATTTTATTTATTTATTTAATATTTATTCATGCTTATTCAATATGTAAATATATCCCCTGAAGTATTGACATACATTAATAAAACAGCATTAACTGTCAAAAATAATTACAAGTCGCGCCTTTTAAATGGAATTATTTCCGGCGTTGATAAATAGTAATAAATCGTGAAAAAGTATTACGTAACTATAACAATATAGAATTAATTTGTTTATAATAACTGTATATTTATAAGTAATCTTTTGATTTAAAACATATCTTCACAAAATATTATCTTAACTATAGAACAAAGAGAATAGGAAACATAAACCTTAAAAAAATCAAGTCTTTAGAACTTTCTATCTATTTTTGTGTAATAATTTTAAAGATCGCAATAATAAAAATATGTATTTTATGATTATTTGATGAACTATCTAAATTGTCTAATATTAATTGAAAGTAGTTGCGATAGTCGCATTGCTTCCCAATTTACTGGACGTCCAATCCTTTTTAATGAGATCTGAGCCCTTCTCAGCAATCATCATCACAGGTGCATTGATATTTCCATTAGTTATGGTGGGCATGATTGAAGCATCGATTACGCGAAGCCCCTCAACACCATATACTCTTAACGATGGATCTACGACAGCCATTGGATCGGATCGTGGGCCCATTTTTGCAGTACAGCTCATGTGATAAATTGTCATTGTGTATTGACGAATAGCACATTCCCAATACTCATCCGTGAACATTGGAATATGTTTACAATTTGGTAGTGGTTTACTATTAAATCTTGATCCAAATCTCTTGAGGCTATTTGTTTCAGTAAATGCCATTGCCGCTTTGACTCCTTCTCGCATAACATTCACGTCATCGGGATGCGTCAAATAATTGTGATACATCAACGGATAATCAAGTGGATCTTTCGATTTTAATTTGATATAACCACGAGATTTAGGTCTTAGCATCATTGGATAGATGCCGAAAGCATCACGATTAGTAACCTCTCCAAAAACTTCATTGTAAAATTCGTCTGTTATACCATGAGCATGTTTCACTTGGCTCCCACCGCTATTAACCGAGCTTGAAGCAATCATAAACTCTATATCGGGCCAATCATCCGTTTGATTGGCATATTTAGTTGATATAAAGCCAACTACTTCAAGACCAACGCTTGAGGTTAAAGGACCATTTTCGGTAATTGCATATCTTAATGCACTATTTAAATTCACTAAACGAGAAAAAACCAAACTGATCTCGTAATCAATAAGGAAAACTAAACCACCAATGGCTATATGATCTTGAAGATTTTGTCCGACGCCAGGTGAATCTTGAATAACTGGAATACCAAGACTTTCGAGATGATTCCTAGGTCCGATACCAGATAACATCAACAATTGAGGAGTATTTATGGCACCTGCTGAAAGTATAACTTCTTTTTTCGCGAATACAGTTTCGATACGACCATTTCTAATAAATTCTACGCCATAAGCTCTTTTGGTACTTGGGTCTATAAGAACACGCGTAACATGGCTCCATAATGATAAATGAAAATTTGGTCGTAATTGAATAGGTCGTATGAATGCCTTGGCTGCACTGCATCTAGTACCTCTACGCATTGTATATTGAAAAAATGCGAAACCCGTTTGTTGATCGGCATTTATATCAACGATGTCATAACCCATTTCTTCTGCAGCTTGCAGAAATGCTGGACCCAGAGGTGTATTATACGGAGCATCTTGTACGGTTAAATAACCGCCTATAAAGGTAATTTACATTAAATTAAATATAGTTTATTAAATATCATTAATAATGTTACGCGTTAATTTAAATAATTATTCACTTGCCTTCGAACATCATGAAAGATTAACATTTTAACTTACCTATACTGTGATATTTAGTGTTTTTTGCCAAATAGGGATTTCTTTGGTCCTCTGACTTTTTAAAATATGGAAGTACATCATCGTATCCCCAGCCAGTATTCCCAAAACTTTCCCATTGATCATAGTCACGACGATTTCCACGAACATAGAGCATGGTGTTAAGTACGCTTGAACCACCTAACACCTAGAATCAATCGAATATGATAATGATCTTAAGTGATTTCTTACGAAAATAAAAATCATAATTTTTAAAATGTTATTTCTATAGAGTTATAAAAGAGTCCAACATAGACGTTATGTATGTTTACATAATACATTAATAGTATATATAATGTAATACGATTTATTAACTAGATTTATTATTATATATGATAGGCTTAATGCAAATTGGTTGTATTTAGGTATTTTGAATTATTATCATTATTATTATTATTTTCTTTCATTTTGTATAGATATTACGTTTTATAACCAAATATTTATTTGTTTTTTTCTGTATAAACGACTTTATCCCCGAACCAATTTACCTTATTCTATTGAACATTTATCTTGTCAGTAAAGTCCTACTTTTTATTCGGCGTTGTTAAGTCTTACGTATATTTAATAGTTATTGTAATACAATGCACTCTACAACCTGACATTCTAATAAAGTCATTATGAAATAATTGTCATTATAGATTCAACAATCTAGGTTAATGTCACAGGTGAATCAATTAACTTACTTTTCCTCGAGTCCAACAACTACGATGATCATACATTGCTTGGCAGGCACTATCTTGTGGTTGAGGCCTATACTTCCAATCCAATTTACTTTTGTGTAAATAAAGTGACAAAATTGGTACGTCAGTAATCTCGGTTTCATGACCACCTGCTTCTAAAAGAAGTGCACTCCATTCTGGATTCTCCGTTAATCGGTTAACTATAATACTACCAGCTGAACCACCACCAATTATTACGAAATCGTATTCCTTCAATAAATTTTTCGTGACTCGAGGTTGATTTTCGGGATCCATTAGATAATAATTAAAATAACTTAAAGCAGCTATTAGGAATGGCACGATACCTATTCCTCCAATACCAAGCGTAATCGTATTTGATTGTATTGCGGTTACTGCAGTCGCATCGAGATCCATGATTATTTAATATTAATTTTAGATTAGGCTAGTCTTATTATGCTATTATCTTTCTTTTCTGATTGATAATATAAATATGATAGATGTAATATTACTGTTGAATCAAAGACATTCAATAAAATCACATAAAACTTTGAATAGATGTAAATTTTTGATTTTTGTCAATATGATATGGTTAAAATAATGAAGTTCTTGACAAACAGGATTGTTAAGCAAATCAATAAAATATCTTATTGGATTTTCTTGAGATTATCTTAATTATTTTCTAACATTTTTTCCAATATATCTTTTTCAAATATTCTAATTAACACTTCGTCATTATCCAATGATAAAATTTTCATTGTCTTCCTTTTATCTATATACTTTCTTTAAATAATTTTTGTAATCCACCGTAAGGTACTTGAAATAGATTGACAAAATAAGATCTGGAACAATGAAATTAAAATAATTAGAAAACTTTATGGATATGTTGAGTATTTCTTTCTATTTTGTTTTCATTATTTGTTTCAAATTTTTAACTGAGTACAAAACACTTTCTAATGTAGTTTTTTTAATTCTCAGAAATCGTTATATCATAGATGTACAAACCAGTTTTATTGAACCAGAGCAACATTTACTGAATTTTAAAAATTACTTTGTTTTTTTTTTCTAATATATTAATATTTATATAAAAAATAAGCAAGGATGTATATCGCGATACTTTATTAACGACACACACGCACACACACACACATTTTCGAAGAAAATGATATAACGAAATAAATATTATTTTCGAAAAAAATAATTTGTTATCTGTTCAAAACAAATATAATGTTTATATAACAGCTATATCATAGTATTTTGAAATTATTAGAAAGAAAATTAAGATATTATATTATGTAAAAGTCACAGAAATAACATTTTTCGAAAACCTTAACAAGATTTTGTCATTTTCAATGCCATAGCTGCTGAATACCGGTTTCGTAATTTTACTAAATGACTCGTAAATTGCTTCGTAAATTACTAAATAGTAGTAACGTAACCTTACATCATAAAGTATCAAATTTTAATGTTAATTTGTGTGTTCAATTTCGATTAATTATTAAATTGTGTTAGTTTTATACTCCTTCTTGATTGTTTTAAAATTATTAACACTGTTGTCAAAATATATAATCAATAAAATATTCTGTATAGTATTAAAATCTATTGTTAACATTACGTGTTCGCATTGGTTTAAACATTATATTGTACATAAATGATTTCAAGTATCAGTTCGTTGTAAAATCATTTGCATATGTTCTTTACTGTGATTGATGATAAAGTTTCAATGCAAATAATTAAAGAATAAAGCGTTTTCTATATATATATAATACTTTTCGAATTTATAAACAATTCTTATGCTTTTATTTATAACATTTTGCAATTACTTAAACACACAAATGTTAATTTTATTTTGACGACAGATTAATTAAGATAAACATTTTTTTTTGATAATTGTTAATAATTGGAATAAAAACAAATAAAACTAAGAAACTAAACTAAAACTTTAAGAATGTTTTATAATCTTTTATTGTTTAAATAGAGAATAGGGATAGAGCGAAGAAATAAAATTGGATCGAGAAGAATATTTTCTAATTTTCTCAAAGAGTTCTAGAATCTCTGATTTATAGGGTATTCCTTCGTTAGGAAAAAAACTCTATCACGGTATTTTAACTGTGTTAGTTCGTAGTTAAAATGTAATGGTACGCAATGTGATTGCAGAACATCAAGAATTTGTGTAATCTTTCTAAGTAAACGTAAATTGTGTCCGATGTAATATTTTATAAATAGATCTAAATTTTACTTTTTTAAAAAACACTCACCAATAAAACGTCTTCATCTGTTATAGCAATTGATTAAAAACTAAAACATAACTATGCCTTTCCGTGAAATGTCACAATTTTTATCATTTATGATAACATTACAACATTCTTAATTTAAAAAAGAAAATCAATTTATTTCGAGCATAGTATATACGATATAAGTAAAGTTTCACGTATATTTCGACCTGTAGATCGAACAAGTTCTCTGTGTCAGAGAAAGTGATAGACTGAGAGTTCGAATATAACGATGAAACGTATAAACCTTGAATGTACCACCACCTTAATATGACGAAACGACTTTGGCCACTGTTTTTACTTTAGACTCTTTCAGTTTATCACTGGTGTTATGCAGTATTTATTTATTTCTTTTTTTTTTTATTTACAACCCTTCATTTGCTTCATATTAAAACTTTACTCAATGTTTTTATTATGGCATAGATCAAGATTTATTTGTGCATTTTTTTTCTTCTCTTTTTTCCTTTCTTTTTTGTTTGAATTTACCTTTAATTTATGTACATAACTGCCTTGAATTATTCTTGATCATTAAATAACTTACAATAATGAATGGGTTACCGAAGTTTGCTCACTTAAGTGAAAAGAAAGTCTGTATTCTTTTTTTTAATATTTTTTTACAACTTAGCAATGTGCATAATTTTATGATCAAGGTTGCTCCTCCGGATAATTTTCTCTTTCTTATTAATGCATTTTTAAAACCTCACAACGTTTATTGATATTTATTTTTTATTTTTTTTTTTTTTGTTTTTTAATAAGTGTTATAAGATCATACACATGTTTACGCTAGGTTTATTTAAATTTTAAATTATTCGTTTGAAATGTGTTATTATATAAGGTATTAAGTCTGCGCACGTTGTCAACGTGCAGGTCAATGTAAATCTCACATTACTTCGATTCAATTTAATTTTTTTTTATACATTTCTGATATACATATTAATTTAAAGTTTGTATTTTTCATTCTTTTTATGAGTAATTTCACTTTTATGGTTAATTTCGAAATCAACAAACATACGTGCCCGCATTCAACCGAAGCGTTCGTTTCTGTTCTTTGTACTTTTCTTGTTTCATAACAATTTAAACAATATTATTTATTGTATAATGTTTGCAGAAACCTTTTTTTATTATTTAAACAGTTTAGCATAAATACATATTTTACTCGGCAATAAAATAGACAAAAAATGAGTATTTAATAATGATTGTGATTCATGTTAACATAATGTGTGTTATCACTCGCTGATTGAAATATTTTTTACAGTGTTTTTATTAGATCAATTGACGTAAGAAACTAGAATAATATAATGCAATTGAAAACAAACAATTTATTATGCGAAGTTTATATAACGTATGATGCGTATATCTACAATTCTATATATCCCTTTTTAAATCTACTATTTGTAGCATATATATAAACCAATAAAAATGTATTCTATTTCAGTTGAAAGTTCTAATATTTCATGCGTAAAATTTTCATTAGAAAAATATTGAAGTTACTTTTATCGTATAATGCGTGTTAGAAGCACCTACTAGTAGACAATCAGAGATACTTCGATGTAGTTTTAAAAACTTAATCCGCAACTCACAACGTAATATAATATTTACATTAATCTATATATTATATATTATTTATTTATTATATTATACTAGTGGCGGATCAAGTTAAGCGGGGACTGCAAGCGATACAAATTTCGGGGTCCTTAAATTTTAATAAAAAAAAAAAAAGAGTTTTAGAAATATTCCTATTAAGTTATTAATAAAAAAGTAAAGTAATCAAAAATTTCATACCATTACACATTAATTAAATTTATTTAAAAAAAAAAAATGTAATTTTTCTCGAATTCTAATGAAAAGAAATTTTAAGACCCCGGGGCCCGTTGATATTCCAAAACCCTAAGCAGCAACTTAGTCCGCTTACTGTTTAATCCGACACTGTATATTACCTACATTTATAATGATCCCAGATACCATAAAGCAATTAAAATACTTTTAATCATCACGATAAAAACAATACGTTTTCGGTTTACGTTATATAAAAGCAAACGTTTCCATTTAAAGAAGCATCGTTGATTATAAAAAACTTGTAGTTTGCTTAACGCCTGCGAATTATTTTCATTTTAAAGCTCGTCCTTGCTGAGCCAATCATTTTTTATCATGTCTGCTCCTTTTTCAGCTATCATCATCGTAGGTGCATTTGTATTTCCACTAACAATTTGTGGCATTATAGAAGCATCAATGACTCTCAGTCTCTGAATGCCTTTTACCTTAAGACGAGGATCTACGACGGCTGTGGGATCGTTAGAAGGTCCCATTTTAGCTGTACCAACAGGATGAAAAAGTGTTCCAGCAGTGTTACTTAAGTTACAATCCCAATATTCCATGGAATCGGGCTCAGTATTTCGACAATTGGGTATATCATAATGACGTAAGGTTATTCCATTAGTCTGAAACGTTTTGGTATTTGCCAAAGATTTTGCAAAATCGATAGATTTCATAAGTATCTTTCTGTCGGATTGATCGCTAAAATAATTAGCATAGATCTTAACTGGATCTGTAGGATCGGTGCTGCGTAATTTAATTTCACCTCTGCTCTTTGGTCTCAGCAAAGCCGGGCACATAAAAATAATATCCGTCTCCATAACAACGTTACTCATAACGTCAATTAATTCGTCTAGAACATCGAACGCTTTCAAAAGGAATTGGACTTTATATACTTGCCATCTTGGTACGTGAGTAATGAGAATCTCTATTTCGGGATATTTCGATTGTGGGTCGGTAAGATTAAGGAACCCAAGAAGATCTACTCCGCCAATCGTAGCCAATTCACCTGTCCCTTTCATCAGATAATCATAAGCAATGTCCATTATATGTGTTGGTGATGGTGGTGCACTCGTCTGATTAATGTAAGCCACTTGAATTCCTAACCATATTACGTGATCCTGAAGATTTTGTCCAACGGGTAAATCAGCCACCAGAGATATTCCTATTTCACGAAGATGATCAGCTGGTCCAATTCCAGAAAGCATTAGAATCTGAGGAGTTACTATGGTGCCAGTCGATATAATCACTTCTTTTGATGCCATTACATCGACTTCCTCGCCAGTTCTTAACATCACCCTAACACCAGTAGCTCGATTATCTTTCAAAAGGATTTTCTCTACTCTGGCGGATTTGATTACATAAAGATTTTTTCTATCCTTTATCGGTGAAAGAAATGCTTTCGCTACGTTCATTCGACGAGACATGTCAATAGCTCCTAAAGCTTTACCATAGCCTATATAATTGTCTCCGTCTAACGGTTCAAGAATTGGTATATTAAGTTCACGAGCAGCGTCTATAAAGATCTCTTGGATATTCGTTTCGGAATAATTGAAGCTTCTAATATTCAAAGGACCACCCTTGGCACAATGTTTATCTCCCCATTTATCTATGTATTCTTGAGAACAATCAATTGATTTTTTAAAATATGGTAATACTTCCTCATAACTCCAACCTTCGTTACCAAGGTGTGACCATTCATTGTAATCACGATCATTTCCACGGACGTGTAACATCGCATTTATCACAGAACTACCACCTAAGGCTTTCCCTTTACCCCACTTGCAATTGCCATTGTTCATACCTTGACAAAATCCTTCTTGCGGTTCGATATCATAGCTATAATCTTCTTCAGTTCCCTGAATCATCAAAATCATTCCAGGAACATCCGATAACGCTGATGGATCTTCGCCAGCTTCAATCAATAATACATCCCAATTGTTTATCTCTGACAATCTGTTTGCTAACACTGATCCAGCAGTACCACCTCCTGCAATCACGAAATCAAATTCCCTTTTCGAATTTACGATTTCGTTTGTACGGTCCATTGGATAATCCTTGCTATTGCTTAAACCGCATTGTGCAACGAGTAGTGTCTGCACCAATTGCGTGAATAAAAAACTACTTGATGATCCTTGCACCGCAGCTGCACAAGTTGCCGAAATACAAGATTCCATTTTTCTTTTCTTCCTTCACCCGATTTGACAATTTTTAACCTAAAGTATTGCACAGAAAGTTGTATTTATTTTTTTTTTTCTTTTGAAAAGGGAAGAATTCAAATGATTCTAATACTTACTTGTTACACGAACTCGTCCTTCACTTTTGCTGAGTACACTCTTAGATTCTGCCTATACTTTAATGAAATCAATTGAATTAAACATAATTATTTAAATAGTGGCAATGTAATTCTAATAATAGAATAATTCTCATGTAAGTTTAAATCGATATAATAAATCATAAGTCATTGTTACTCACCAATAGTTCCTTTAAAAGCAAAATCCAAGAGATAATTAACCATATCGAGATGCTGGTTCATGAATAAATCTCGTGGATATTCCCCACTTTAATTTATCGCTTTTTGTTTTTCTAATAACTTGATCTTACCAATTCTTTATTCCCACAATTTCTTTTCTATGTAAGCTTATCATTTTACCTATCTGGTTATGCAGCCACAATCTTTTCTAAACCAGATTATGCAACGTATCTTTGACAAACAATCTCAAATTACAATCATACAGTATTCATTTTATACGATTGTCAGTGATATCGATTCTCTTATATTGATCTAAAATATAAATATATTTCGAATATAATAAAATCACGTTCGATTCTATGTTTACAATGTTTCCTCATATTAAAATATTCTTCGATTTATCGAAAAAGCTCGAGTTTATTAACTGTTTCTAACAATATATACCCAACTCTTTTTTGAAACGATTTTAAAAATTGTCTTCTTTGTACCCGTTTGCTTCATCATAACTCATTTGACGAATTATTTGTAACAAGGAAAGCTCGTATTATCAGATGTATTAGAGATTAACCAGTTAGCTATAGTAACTTCTTCAAAAAGTGTATACCTAAATTGTGTTGACACAATGAAGCGATAGCAGTGAATATTTTCGTCAAATGCAGAGAGAGAGAATTAATATAGCTTTTATAATATTTAATTATTCTTACTTATATATATATGTGTGTAATATGCATATATTATATATTTTACTCAATATATTTTTTACTCTTATTACGTTACTCTTTTTTTTTGCGTCTATTATCGTCTTTCATTACGTTGTTCTGCTTAAAATTAATTAAAATATTAAATATATGGAAAATTTCTAAAAAAAATATAATAAAATTCATAGATAAGAGAAGAAAGATTTGTTTATTAAGAAATTTGATAAAACATCGTATTCATTGTTTGATTAAGGCCACGAGTTAAGAATCATACTTGATGCTTTTTCGGCTACCATCATTATAGCAGCAATTGGATTACAATTGGGTAAATGTGGGAAAATGGAAGGATCGGCAACACGAATGTTAGATACACCATGTACACGTAATTGCGGATCAACGACAGCGAATGTGTCGGTAGCTGGTCCCATTTTGCAAGTACCAGCTTGATGATTTTCCGCACTAGTCTTTGCTCGTATGTAACAGTCCCAAAATGCGTCAGAGCCAGTGTGCAAACTTGAAAAAAGAATATTTCGTTATTATGTTTATTTTAATTATAATATAAAATACGATTAAATAATATTAACTTACTGTGCACAAAGAGGAGTATGCAATTCTTCTAATCTAAGATCCCATTTCTTCATGGTCGGAGTGTTTATGAGTTGAAGTACTTGTTTTATACCTTCGATCAAGACTTTCATATCTTTTTCTTGAGTAAGGTAATCAGGATATAATAGAGGTAAATCTAATGGATTGGAACTACGTAATTCCAATGTACCACGACTGTCAGGAATTACGACAGTTGGTCTAGCAACAATCTTTCTTCTACCAGGACAAGTTCCTACAGTACCATCCGTACATTCGTTTGGCAATCCTGTTTTCGGGCAATACGAACTGAATCCGTCGAAGAATACTTGCAAGTCGGGTAAACCAGGAACAGTGAAATTACTTTCAAGGAAAGCAGTGACTTGAGTTAATCCAGTACTAGCTAGTTCACCGGTTCTAAATTCAAGATATTCATTTACTGATTTCATGGTCATAGTTTCTACCGATGTATCCCTTATAGACATTGGTACAGCAACGGAAACGTGATTGATGAAGTATTGTCCTACTGGTAGATCCTTATATGTTTTAATGCCAAATTTAGATAATTGTTCTATCGGTCCGATACCAGAATTTAAGAGAATCTGTGGTGATGCTAAGGCMCCAGCCGTTAAAATAACTTCTTTGTTACATTTGACTACTTTTCTGCGACCATATTTATCAACCAGTTCGACTCCATATGCTTTCATATTATATTCGTTGATTAAAATCCTCGTTACACGAGCATTGGTAAGAACTTTGAGATTCTGTCTATCGTGTACAGGTCTTAGATAAGCTCTAGAGGTTGTTGCTCTTACACCTTCATCTACTGTCATTGGTGCTACCATATAACCAGTTTGGGTGTATTCTCTCAATTTAGACGTTTTGTGACCTAACTCACTAGCTGCTCTTAAAAGTACACTAACAAATTCTGGTCTGTGAGAATAATGTTGAATTTTCACTGGACCGTCGGGTACAGTACGAGTGTATGAACTTAACATAGATGGATCAACCGGATTTTCTGCAAGTTGGAAGAAGTGTTCGATCTCGTCATAAGACCACCCTACGTTACCCTCGCGTGCCCATTTATTGTAAATCTCTGGATGACCACGATAATACATCATGCCGTGCATTCCACTGGTACCTGAGACCATTCTTCCTCTAGGAATATTACATGCTCCACCCTTTTCTGGAAACGTCAATAAAAGTTTCATGAATTTCCTTTGATTTTGATGAATCGTTCGTTCGATAATGATCTAATTATTTTACCTAAACACGCTGTTGGATGTGGTTTTGTCGGTTCCGTTTTAAATTTCCAATCTAATTGCGAATAGAGAGCATTCCAGGCTAATCCTGGAATAGCTGTCATGGTAGGTTCTTCGGGACCAGCTTCGATCAGTAATACTCTATTCCAAGTATTGTCGCTTAATCTTCTAGCAAGAATAGGACCAGATACACCAGCACCAACAACGATAAAGTCGTACCTTTATAAATAAATATATCATTAGAAAATTTATCAAAATGTTTTACCGTTGAGTATAGATAGATTTGATTTATCTCGTCATTAAGGTCAATTATTTACCATTCTCCGTTCTGTACATCATCTCTACCTAATCTACGACAAGGATCAGATATATCGCATCTTGCCATCATCAGATTTTCAACTAAAGTCATGAAAGAAGATTCGCCTCCGCACATTGCTTTCATGTATTTTGTATCTTCGAAACTGCAACCGCAGCATCCTGTTGCATTTGATGTAACATAATTTTCGTAATTTACGTCAAGTTGATTCAGCTGAAAGAAATAATAGATAATATTAATAGGTATGATACCTTTAAAATTAACTTTTTATTGTGAAATATAATAAAAACGATAAAAGAAAGGAAGATCTATAAAGTATTGGTTAATTAATACATGTATATTCCCCATAACGTAATCGGGGGATGATAAAACCACATTATATAATACGAATTTTAAATTTCTATAAACGAAATTAATGTCAGTTTTTGTTTTTTTTTTATATATCGTTAGTAATGATTTATCTAATATAATAGTATATTTAATTATTTCTTCCGATAGAATTAAATTATTTTTATATTGCAATAATCTTAACTCATAGTATAATTTTGAGCCTGTATTTTTCTAATTTGATAATCAGAATAACACATCTTCTTCACGATGTTGTATCGATCGATAAAAATTAACATTTATAAATAATTTTTACTCACCAGCGGTGGATTGATTTGCTTAGCAAATGCATACTGCACCAAAAGCAAAAGAAAGTCGAGTAAGCGCATTTTAAAAATCCGTATCATTGTCCGTTATTCAATATCATCTGTAAATTAAGAAATTACGCTTATAAATTTTTCTTTCATTTCTTTTTTTTTTTCAGCACACTCTAATACGCGTTTATTCCACGCGATTAGCTATGATAACATTTTAATCACGTATCAATCATATCACTCTTCGTAAATAATTCGGATCTCACTAATCATTGAAATTAATTAGCAAATGATTATTTATAATTTGATCGAATTTATTGTAATTCGAAGATAACGAGTGGCATTGATATATAATATTACGGTAACTTCCTTAACTAATAACGATTTATGAATGACAAAGTATATCATAAAAACAGTTTAATAACCATTCACAGTTAATTAAACACAAACGTATCCCTACGTTACATTACTTACGATCACGATATATTTTTCTGATCGAGTGCGCGAGTGCTATCTATCATATCAAAATAATTCAAGAACAAGAAAGAAAGAAAAAGTGAAAATGATGGTCCATATTCTAAGAAGAAATCGTCTAAACTGAAACAACGAAAACATAGAAAGAGAAAGATGGAGATCTGTATCACCAAGAGCGTTCTAACACTCGTTATTGTAGCACCAAAGATAGAAAGTAAACGTTATTCTCATTCCTCTTACTTTCCTTTTACTTTTTATTTAATCGATGTACTTTATTGCTGACGATATAGAAAAGGAAATACCGAAGCATCAATTATCTTCGATTTCCCTCGATATTTTCTTTTTTTTTTTAAATATCGTTGTAGATAATGAGTTCGGTAAGTAAGTATATGTTAAATTTGATATGTCGTGTTACATAAAGAACGGTAAATCTGTAACAGGGATTGTGGAGATACACACATATTATAGAGGTTCTGCAGAACGTCAATAGAACGGCTGGTAGGGTGCAGTGGCCTCATGGCCAAAGATTATAAGACAACCAAAACGATAGATGCCTTTCTATACAAATAAGCGGGCATGCATGTGAAAAAAGGAGGGGAGAGAAAGAGAGAGAGAGAGAGAGAGTGAGAAACAGACATACGTAATATATCGGAAGGCTTTACGATAATGTTCCCCAAGAATCATTTAAACTAAATTGAATCAAATTCGCAATACGTAAGTACCCTTTGCATGGAGTTACACGACATAAGAAAAAAAAAAAAAAATGATGACAGACATTTTAATGGACATATAATTCTCGACTGAAAGGGAAGAGTCGAAGTGACAGGATTTTAACACATTGATTGTTACCAATTTTCCTTAAATCTCTTATCCGAAAGACGATAATATAATTTTTATTATTATAAGCTTGTAATAAGAAATTATTGCTTCTTATAATTGAAAAAATGTTACGTTCTTATTAATGTGTTCACATTTTACTAATGATCCTCATCATAATACATTCGGTTGCTTTTGAAAACTTATTTTAGTATTTTGATAATGATAAAATTGTTGTAAGAATATTATAATAAAAAATGGAATAACATATTGTAAAGATTACGATCATCAATGTCATTTGTTTATAAATTATTGTAATATAAATCATCGGAAAATTTAATTTATAAATCAAAAACAAATAAATAATCTTTAATAATAGAAATAATAATTTCCATCTACATTATAAATGCACACATAACTATACATTTTCTTTATTAATAGTTTTACCACATTCTATTAAAAAAAAAAAAAAAAAAAAAAGAGAACAACGAAAAATGATTAATAATTTTTGTATTATTTATGACATAGCGCGTATTTTACACTTTACATTAATATCTCATTATTCGCTTTATTGAAAATAATTTATCTGATTGCATTCTACTAATATTTACTAAATTAGTAAATTTTTCTTTGATGATCGTCACTGACTATTATCTCAAGCAACGCGTTCGTGTCGATAACATAAACGGAAATTCGCTAATCGCGTTATTATAATCAATTTGATAAACTCAAGCAGATAATGAAATATCACTTATCTATCACGTTCTTCTTCGAATTTGGATTATTATCATATTTGTTTGAACTTTTAGATTTAAATATAAGAAAAGAATAATGCACGAAAATGGTAACACACTGATAAAATAATAAATAAAACTTATGCCAAATGAAAATTCCGAAAGGCGCGGGGGCGGGCGCGTTACGGGCGCATGAACGAAATCGAGTTCTATACTAACGGCAAGATTGTATGTACTCTTACCAATGGTTAGTTAAAATAACGTTTTACATAAGATCAATGCGTGTACGATCAATACCCATTGCGACTGGCTGGCTACAAACACACGGTAAACTTGAATTGAATGCACGTTATGGTGGTGAACGCTGTTAAACGAGTTTATTCTCGAGGACATTGATAAAAAAAATTGGAAGAATTTAAATAAATACACGTGCCATTTTAACTACAGTAAAAGTAAAGAAATAAGGAAGATAAAAACAAAACCTAATTACCTGATTAAATTCGATAGAACTTAGAACGGTTGATGCTGAAGTATCGACTCAAGCTGGCCAGCACGCAAACATTTTGGAAGCATTTGGAGCGTCGACGAGAACAAAGAAGAAACTAAAGGGGGAACGAACGGTGACTCGAGTCGAAAGGCGCGCGGCTACGAGTCGTCAATGATGGCTCTTGAACGGCAACAGGAAAATTGTTAATCGAATCAACTAACGAAAATATTAAGTAGATACGAATAAGAAGAATCAGGCGGTAAGACTCATTCGTTTACTCGGACAAGATCCTTTGGTAAAAGGCAAACGTTCTTAGTCACAATTCGTTAAACCCATCGATCCACCAACCCAACCGGCTAAACTAGACGCACTAATTAAGAATCCTTCCTCCCAACCTCACCCCCCACCCCACCTCTTTTTTTTTCCTTTTTTCTTTCTTTTCTTTCTTTATTCCTCTTTCTCTCTTTGGTTCTCTTGCGAGAAAAAAAGAAATCCTTCCTTCGTGTCTGATGGCAGTGAAACATCCATGACGTGACGTCATCATTACTACTTCCCTTCCATTCTGCATTTACTAAAGTCTATTCGGTCCAAGCAGGATGCAATGTTGTCGAAAGTTAATCGACTAAGAAGAAAGTTGGATAATGAGATTACATATGATGTGCACATGTTAGTTTTTATTGATATAACACTATTTATTTGTTCCTCTAATTTTTGTTCTAATTATCTATGATATCATTTATCGTTTAATCAAAATAACAAATTAATATAGCACAAATATAATCTTATTTTTAAAAATTGATTATAATATATATATATATACTTAAAAGTACAAATATATATATAAATAAGTATTTTCTTTCTTTGTCACGCTTCAAATGGCTTTTTGTTAACTTTGCACTGCCTGCTTGATTCGAATAAACTTGTGGTGTATATGTGTGTTAATATATACATATATACACACACGTATACGTATATGAACGATTCTCCATGGTAAATATTAAGAAATAACGAACTATTCCGATTATCTTGCTTAATGCGCGAATCTTTGAACAAATCGAAAAAATCAATCGTAGTTAATGCGTACCAAAACTTCAATAAAGATTTTCGAGTTTAAAGAGAGAGAGAAAAAAAAACAAAAAAAAAAAGGCTTCTCCTCCGATTATGCAAGCCAGTATTTCGCGTATTACGATATTAATGATTTGCAACGCATAAATATGGTGAATCACTATTTCTTTCTTTATCTCTTTTTAGTTTTATTTCACTTTTCATTTTACCTATCGTAAGATGTATGATTTCACTTGTATTCGATGAAAGTGAGGAGGTATGGCTCGTTGCGAGAATCAGAAACCGATACGATCTGATTATTCGTACCTGGTTAATTGTTAGTTTAGTTTAGTAGGATTATGATATCTTACCTACTTCTTCACAAGTTGGAATCACGTTAACTCGGGTGTCTGAGAACGAATAGACCTCTAACACCTCTGCCTTTGATTATAAAAGGTGATAGGAGGCAATCTTTGTAGTAGAAATCATGTGGCACACTTGAGTATACAAATGTAAAAATGTATAAACGAAATACATGAACAAACAAAAATTTCCAAAATGTAGATAGATGTTAGAAGAAATACACGAACAAATAAAAATTCCCAAAATGTAGATAGATGTTTTATTGATTGTAAACACGATCAATCAAACATTTACATTACTACATTAATTTGCACACATACACGATCTACAAATATTTCGATCGTTTTTCAAGATATACACATGTCATTAATTATTTCAAACGATTACTTGAGCATATGATAAAAATCTAATTTACCGGTAATATAATCAAATATTGAACAATTTATTAATTTTGCTTATCAATGACCTCGGCTTATTTATTCTTCCTTTATTATATAATGTTAGTATTTTCAAAAATTATGTTTTCCACGGTTATGCGAAAACCTCGAATATCGTGTATGTACCTAAAATCGAAAATTAAATTTATAATCATGGGATTCCCGACTAATGTCACCTTGCATTATCAATGATGATAGATCATACACATTATAACGAGTCTGACACCATCAATAATTCTCCGAAGAAATTTGATATATTGAACAAGACAACATTTTTGTTTGGATTTAATCGAGCGTCAACATTTTTCATAGATTCTGTCAGGCTTAAAAACTCTATGTATAAACTTTGCATCTTCTATCTATAATGTAGAAGTATTTTAAACAAATTCATTTAACAGGTCCATTGAAAAAGTTCTATTTGAGGTTGATCGAATTTAAGTTTATGAAAGATAGGTTTTTTATGATTATTTTTTAAGCCTTAACAACAAATAATAATTTATGTTGTTGAAAAATCGATTTTCTTACAAATGTCGAGGAAATAAATTTTGTTAATGCATAAACAAACTCTTTTAATTTCAACTTTATCAATTTAAAGATTAAATACATACCTTCAATCGTCACGTGATCCTGAAGATTCGAATCAATACAACAATTAATTCTCGAAGCTTATCTATAAGCCTAATATCGATAGCATCAGCAATTATGACGACTGTATGGTTTTCGTTGCCACAACATCAAAACAACTTTTTCGAATGAAATTAAAAATAGGTCTTTCTCTAAAAATCAAATACTTACAACCTGATGCTTTTTCTTCGTAATACATGAAAAAAAAGTGTATATCTTGAAGTACATACAAAAAATAAATGTTAATTAATTTTAATATTTTGTTTAATCGTCGTTGGAATCTTACAATTTATAATCAATTCTATAAAGATGCAAAATGTTGAAAATTACATACTTAATATTATGATTTTTTTTATATATTATCCTATCTTTTAACATATTGTTTACAATCATTCATTTTATTCAAATATGTCATCGAATAACGTATCTGAAAATGATATTATGTTAATGGTGCTTAAGAAAAACGATAATATACTTAAATTACCCTTTATATTATTATACCTATATTAAAAATATCATATAAAGTTCATAATATTTTACACGAATATTATTACAATGTTTTGGTATTCTAAATGATGATATCTAATATAAATAATCATTACATAAATAATTAAAATTTATTAAATATTCAATATATATAACATATCACTTATTTTTAATTTGTAATTATTTAAAAAAAATGTTTTCGAAATCATATTTTTTGTAGAATTGTTATTCTCTCCTTTATGTTACAATAAATTTTTGCACGTTTACGTGCCTTAGCCTCAATTCTTTTTCTTTAACCAGTTCTGTTTAATCATGTCAGAACCTTTCTCAGCGATCATTATCACCGGAGCATTAGTATTACCGCTGACAATGTTGGGCATGATGGAAGCGTCTATAACACGAAGACCACTTACACCATAAACTCGAAGTTGATAATCGACTACTGCATCTGGATCCCAGTAGGGACCCATTTTGCAAGTACCAACAGGATGATAAACTGTATGCGTATAATGCCTAATCATACATTCCCAATGTAAATCAGTGTACTGTGGTATATGTTTGCAATTTGGAAATGATTTCATATAAAATTCACTCCCGAATCTTTTAAAGGATCGAGTTTTACTAAGTGCTACAGCAATCTTGACGCCTTCGACGAGTGTTGCCATATCTTCGGGTTCTTTAAAATAATTAGCATAAATCATCGGTTGATCAAAGGGATTATTACTGCGTAACTTGATAATGCCTCTACTTTTAGGTCTTAAAAGCATAGGAAGCACGCTCCAAACATCCTTCTCATTGATCGGACTGAAAACTTCATTGTAAAAATTCTTCTTGATGCCATCGATCTTTCGTAATTGTCTACCGCCATCAGAATTTATTGAACCTGATACGAAATGAAGCTCAATATCTGGAAAATCTTCCGTAGCATTGACGTATTTTGTGTTAATGAAGGCTAAACCTTCAACACCCCCAAGAACAGTCAGAGGACCATCACCTAATAGTGCATATTTCATAACAGCTTGCACATTATGAAGTCTCTTCTCAACCATTGAAATTTCCTTGTTCACCGTGAAAGCGAGACCACCTAAGCCAACATGATCTTGTAAATTGTAACCTACCTTTAGGTCTTGTATAACAGGAATACCGTGTTCGACCAAGTGTTTTCTTGGTCCCAAACCTGACAACATCAAGAGCTGAGCCGAATTAATTGTTCCACCGGAGACAATAACCTCTTTTTTCGTGCGTATGCGAAAAACCTTGCCATCTCTGACAAATTCCACGCCATACGTTCTCTTCGAATTAGGATCGATCAGTATTTTAGTCACGTGCGAATTTAATGCAACGTGTAAGTTTTTACGAAGCCTCACTGGACGAAGAAAAGCTTTAGCTGATGAACATCGACTGCCACGTCTTATGGTACCCTGTGCGATCATGAAACCCGTTTGATGTTCACCATTTATGTCACGATTTTCATAACCCATCTCTTGACCAGCTTGAACGAAAGCAGCCGCCAATGGTGTATGCCAAGGTGCTTCTTGAACTGTCAAATAACCACCGGTCGAGTGATACGGTGTACGAGTCAAATACGGATTCTGATTGTCTTCAGATTTTTTGAAGTAATAAAGTACTTCTTTCGAATTCCAACCAGGATTACCCTGCTGCTCCCAAATATCATAATCCTTTTTATTCCCACGAAGATAAAGCATGTAGTTTAGGACGCTGCTACCACCTATCACTTTTCCACGAGGCCAGTTGCAACGTTCATTTTCCATTGCTGAAACGTTTGCAATACTTTCATTGGTATTCGATGTAGCAAGACTCGAAAGATTTCTAGCTACTTCGAATGAAAACTTTCGACGAGCTCTATGCGATCACGTTACGTTCTATATCAGTAAGAAAGAAATACGAAGACCTAGTTAACTACTACTTACCCAAGCAATAAGTACCCTCAGCTTCCGTCTTATATTGCCAATCAAGTTGAGTGAGTTGAAGATAGCCAGCAAGTAGAGGTACGTCCGATATATCTGTCTCTTGTCCTCCAGCTTCTAAGAGTAACACGTTCCAATTATTGATTTCACTGAGACGATTTGCTACAACAGCACCTGAAACGGATATACATAAAAGAAAATTATTTCTAATTTTCACATTATTTTAGGTTTCTTCATTAATTAATTAATGAAGTATCTGAAGTTGTTTTTTTTTAGCGTAGAATAAAGAAAAAATAACTTTTACCTATGCTCTCGTTCAAAAAACATAAAATATTATTTATAATATTACGAAGAAAGGAAATTTCTTTCCAAAGAAGGAAAGATCACATATATGATACGTCAAATTATAATTCTAAATCGAATAACACTCAATAAAAAAAGATAAAACTAATAATTATTTTGATGATACCTGCTGATCCACCACCGACTACGATAAAATCGTAAGATCTTAACAATTCTTCGAAAGGAACATCAATAGGCGGTGCTTCGTTGTCTAAAACTTCGTAATGGAAATAAAGTAATGCAGCAGTTAAAACTGAAAAAAACCATGATAGTCCAGTGCTTGTAGTGGACAAGCCTCCAATAAATGCACTTTCAATTCCCATAATAGTTTATATTTTTATTATTTCTGTAATATACAGAGTTGGTTTTAATAAATGAGATACGATTTTTCTAAGGAAAAAAAGATTTAATGAATGTATAATTTTTACAATAAATTGAAAATATTTTTAAAATGTTCCTGAGATACCCGTTGTTCCTGTAGAACTGAAACCGATATACTGATTATGGATATCATTGTTAGACATTCGATTGACTTGAAACGTTATGGCGCATGTCATTATGAATAACAATTGAGCAGAAAACTTTCAAATGTTAAGTAATTAATTGTCAATGCCAAGTTGCGATTGTTTCATAAATGTCACGCAAGTCAAAACTTTATTGGAGTCTTTAATTTGTACTACTGTTATTTCATACTATCTATAAATTAAATTTGTCAATATGTGGAAATTGGAATTTCATTTAAAAAAAAAAGAAAACTCTTAGAAAATGTATTCTTTTCCATTTGAAGACATAGAGTTCTGGTGTAAAATATCATTGCAGAGGTTATTGTCCCTTATCAGATCACAATTCTCTATTTTCCCTTTATAATACCTCAATACAATGTTCTTTAGAGGTTTCCCCGTTCATTTTCTCGATCGTTTTCTAGGTTTCTGTGCCGTCACTTATACGATTCTAATTCCAAGATTGCCTCGATCTATTAATATTCGAACTTTACATTATTCCCGAACGATGAACCAATAAATTACAAACTTTTACCTCCGAATAACAAATTTGTACACGGTTTCACGCATAACCCTTTTTTTTATTCACTACAAAAATCACCCACTCACACACCACACACACACCTTCTGAGTGAATTGCAGGAAAAAATATTAAGCACATATATAATTAAATTAAATTAAATTAAGATTACTTAATAATTATTTGTATTCGCGTTTAATTTCGTAATAATTTTTCTTTACACGTTAATATGTATTTTCTAATAAAAATCGAAGTATAAACGAAAGGATCTAGTTGTTACTAGAAGAGAAGATCGAATGAAGCCTAAAGGCAGACTAGCAAGAGTGACCATGACCTTACTATGAACACGACTACTGGCATGCTGGATCCATTGAGATCGTATTCGAAGTCATACGGTTACCTTCGAAGCGAACGGGTTTCGAAGCTACGTGTCTCTAACATAACGGTCATCGACTTCCTTCTCTGCCTTTCTCCGTAACATTTTTTTTTTCTTTCCTTTTCTCCTCTCTCCATTTCGAATTCTTTTGAAATAATTTCCTTCTCATCCTCGAAATTAATAGATACATTAATCGAATTGTTAATGTAACAATTAATACATTCAAATATTATTAAATATCAATAGGAAAATTATTTTCTAACATGTTCACATTGTCATCATTAATAAATTAAAAATAATAAAGATATTTACAAACAAATGTAGATAATATTTGACAGAAGAAATAGGGCTGATTAAAGAAATCTACGTGCCGATGAAAATAATTTACAGATTGAAATATTCTATTAATACAGTTAATGTAGCTATAAGAGGTATGATGAGCTTGTATATGTAACAGATCATGGTACCTAAGATTTTTAGATAGAAAATTGAGAGAGAAAAGGCATATGATATCTGGACAATTGATAAAACCTCTAAAAATTGTACAAACAAACAAACATTGTGTCAGATATTCATCCTTCTCTTACTCAACGTAGACATATTCATATAACTGAGAATATCATCATCATCATCATCATCATCATCATCATCATGACTATAGTATTAATGAAACAGTAACAATTATATGTTAATTAATTAGACTAAATATTTAACATTTATAATAGGATATCTAGTGAAAGTATTATTCTTGTCACGATACTCGAAAGTCATTGGAATTCAAAAGTGTTTGATTTATTTTCGTAAGAAGAACAATTTTTTATAAGTTTCATTCGATCAAGTATGTTACGTGTTGAATCTCACGTAAGCAAAAAACGATCGCTAGTAAACGTTTGGATAGTCGTGTTCTTGACGTCACGATCTAGTGATCTCACCGTAAAGAACGGTGCGGCCTCTATAAAACGACCTACTTACGCTTGTCACAAGAGCAAGGGGAGCGAGATACTTTATGAGGCATTAAAGTACCAAGTTTCCTAATTACGATGTTGTTTCATCGACAATAAATAAGAATAATAATAATATTAATAATACAATATTATTAATAATAATAATAATAATTTGTTTATGAACGTAAGAGTCAGTACACTGATCCTTAATGGTTCCATGATATTAGAGAAACCAAGCTTCTCCTCTAGTTTGCTGGTTTCCAAATCCCCCGTTTATCTTACAGATGATTACGAGTTCAAGAGTTGAAGTTTTTTCTCGTTTTTCGTTTGATAATCAACCCCGTGAAACTGATCCTCCTTCAAAAAATAGCGGAAGATCGAAACCGGCAATCTCCATTCATTAGAGTAAAACTTACAAGAGTAAAAACTTGTGAAAATTAAAAGAGTTGTTTTTGAAAAAGAACAAAAATAAGTCACAAATTTGTACAATTTACATTGTATTATTCAAAATGAAAGTGTGAATGTTTAATTTAAGAATTTTTCCTACCAATATCTATAGATTGAAAATATATTATAAATTATAACTGCAAAGATTATGAGAATTTCAATTGCCCATTGATGACATCGTCATTATAACAACGTATAAATTATCATTACGATTTTTGTATTTCAGGAGGATGTTGTGGATCGATGAAGAAGAGGACAATTGTCGGCGGCTACGTTTTCACTTGGTGGTTCGTCACAGATGTCCAACGATTGTCCCTAGAAGTGATGACATTAAATCCAGTCTGCGAGAACGTCGAGACTGCCCAAGGTGTACCATTGACCGTCACTGGAGTGGCCCAATGCAAAATCATGAAAGCCGACGAACTTTTGCATACTGCCAGTGAACAATTTCTCGGGAAAAGTGTCCATGAAATAAAATCAACGATATTGTCCACTCTTGAAGGCCATTTACGTGCAATTTTAGGTAAGAATTTCTATTCAACAATAATTTATTTTCTTATATATTTTACGTGGCTTTTTTTCATGATGCTAGAAATAAATTCATTGCCACGTATATCGTGAAAATAGGTCATATTTATCCACAAAATGAAAGAACAAGGATCGTGGAATTTATTGACTAACTATACAAAAGATGACTGAAGAGGTTGCTCAAGGAGAGAATGCTGTGACGTATCTTTAGGCTTCCACTTTGTTCACTTGTTTTTTCTTTCCTTTCTTTTTGTTGTTTCCCGACATTTTTTTTTGTTCTTTTCCAATTTTAAAACTGACGAAAGATTTTTCATTGCAGGCACGCTTTCAGTTGAGGAGGTTTACAAAGATCGTGATCAATTTGCTGCACTTGTAAGAGAAGTTGCAGCACCTGATGTTGGCCGTATGGGCATAGAGATTCTTTCATTCACGATAAAGGACGTTTACGATGATGTTCAATATTTGGCATCACTCGGAAAAGCTCAAACAGCGGCAGTTAAACGTGATGCAGATGTTGGTGTCGCTGAGGCCAATCGTGACGCTGGCATACGCGTAAGCTTTAACTAATTTTGTTAAACAACGATTTTATTAGATTCTAAACTTAATTCCTGTCGTTGGCTACTAGAAAATGTCAACTCACAAACTGGCAATTTCCACTTATCAAATCGTATGCCTTTTGTTGTTTCGATACTGGTAAAACTTGAATCAAACCTCAAAGGTTACATTTTTCACACGTGAAAGAGGTTTTCTATTCGATTAAAAATGAATCGGGATAAACTGTTTTTTCGATATGTGTGATTTCATTATTTTGATATCCCAAATAAAGAAAATCATGAGTAGATCCTAGGAAACTTTATACTTCAACTCCCAAGAGGTCATAAGATCATGCTATGCGTTTAGTGGGATTAGGAAAGTGTTGTGTAACTCTCGAATTTGAACCAACTTATTATCAACATCAGTTAAACCGATTGAGTGACAAATTAATGCAAAAAAAAACCATCCGTTACCAGAAGTCGATAGAAAGTCATTCTTTTACACGACAAAGCTTGACTGCATGTTGCGAAAATCATGAAGAATACACTACTAGAACTTCTTCCACACTTAACGTACTCTTCAAACATGTTACCATTGAATTATAATCTTTTCCGGTCAATGCAACACGCGCTTACAGATACACACTTCTTCAATCACGATGGAGTCCCAAAAGCTGGGATTGCCCAGCTGCCAGATAAATGAACAAAATTAGTGGAATCAATTCATTTTTCTTTCGAAACTAATCAATTTTGAAAATGAAAAAACAACAGAAATTAAGTTTACTCCGTTTAATATAATTCTTCGACGATATTTGTTAAACTTCACCAATATCATTTATTTTATCTAATACGAAAATTATTTTTATCGAAGAAAAAGTTTTACTTTTCGAAAGAATAATTCGTTTCCATGGATCATTATTTTGTAAATAGGTAAACATGCTTGAGCAAGAGAAATCGTAGAATTCGCTTGTTCGCAGGAAGCCGAGTGCGAGAAAGCGGCGATGGATATAAAGTACAACACCGACACAAAGATCGAAGATAACGCGAGGCTTTTCCAATTGCAAAAAGCTAATTTCGACCAGGAAGTCAACACTGCTGTAAGTGAAACCATAAGATATTGTTTCTAACAAGGGGACTTTACACTATGATACTCACGGATTTTAAAGGGCTTTAATATATTGGTAGTATATTATTAGGGTGTTATCGTGGTAAAGTGTTTTAGCCTAACGCGAAGCCATTTTTTTTTATATACATGTTTATATTATCTTAAATTCGACTGTTTATCAAGTGGCACGTTAGCGTATGTAATAGTGTTCTCGCTTCTCGTGTTGCTGGTTAATGTTCGATCATTCATGGGGGATGTTTTTTTAAGTAATTTTTGTAAAATGTATTAATACATATAAATTTGATTCTTCTTTTTGTTTATATCTTTAGAAAGCAGAAGCACAGCTCGCATACGAATTACAAGCCGCGAAGATAAGGCAACGAATACGAAACGAAGAGATACAGATAGAAATCGTAGAGAGGCGTAAACAAATCGAAGTAGAGGAACAAGAGGTACGCCGAAAAGAACACGAACTTCAAAGTACTGTGCGATTACCAGCCGAGGCAGAACATTATAAAATTGGAAGAGTGGCTGAAGGAAAAAGGTAAGTCTCGAAATGTAACAACTTATGTAAATTTGTATACTTTTTAATTCGAAAATTATGTTTAATTATAAACACAGTAATCTATACTTTTATTAATAAGTCTTATAATATTGATTGTGTTTCAATAATGTGTTACAATCATGATGGGGCCATTATGGCATGATAGACACTGAATTATTTATTTGCCATTATAATCTTCAGAAAATTTTCTGTCGCAAAATATGCACATTGCATCATTCGATTCCGGTTGGATATTTGAGATAGCCGAAACGTCTACTTTAGTCTGTTCTGCTGCTGTTCTTTTATTTCTTTTATACGAGAGTACATATTTTTTCGTATTTTATAATAGATCATCTTTATATGATGATGTTGCTAATTGAATTATTAGTTTTATATCATTAGCTATCACCTTATTTAAAGTTTCCTAAGTCACCTAATTTAAGTTTTATATCATTATTTTCCTTATTTAAAAATACTCACACCACTCTTTAAATATCCATTAATATACTTAAACTAAGAATAATATTATATAACTTACCTTTTGTATTTTTTTTTTAAAAACACACAATAAACTAATGTAAACTTTACTCAAAGAAACTCGCCTAAAAGCTTTTGCAGACGGTTGTAACGTAGAATGTCCATTAAACAAAAGAACGACGCGACTGTCAGCAATTATTTTAAGAGATATATTGATTCAGTCGTTATAATATATAATTTTTACCATTATCAAACCTAACAAAAATTTGTAAAGGTCAAATACTTGATGTCTAACATTACTACCCTTTCTCGTATTCGTACTTTCTTATCTCTCTCTCTCTCTCTCTCTCTCTCTATTTATATGTATATATGTATATCACGTTTAATTGTTTTTAAAACAAATAGAACGCAAACGGTGAGCGCAGCGAAAGCCGAAGCCGAGAGGATTCGATTAATTGGAGAAGCTGAGGCTCAAGCTTTGGAAGCCGTTGGAATATCGGAAGCTGAGCGTATGCGAATGAAAGCTGCAATCTACAAGAAATATGGCGAAGCGGCGATACTGAATATCGCTTTGAACGCTTTGCCAAAGGTAAAGAGAAACGAATCTTATATGCATAATGCATTGCACATTAATTCGACTTCCGTTCTATAATGCAAACTATTGTAGAAAGTTCTGCCATTATTTTTTTGTATGTTATTTCTAAACGTAACATTTGATGCACACAGATCTTTTAAAATCTTACATGAAATTAGTCTCATTTTCATTATACGATAACGTAATTTATGATTGAAAAAGATTGCAATTTTTAAAATATATTTCTTGTTGATATCTCTTCTCATTAACTGATGATAATTTTATTTTTCAAAGAAAAAGTAACTTTTGACATAATATACAATTAAAACTATTTTTTTTTTTTTGAATTGTTTCTTTTTCCGATTTGTAGATCGCTGCCGAGGTTGCTGCACCTTTAGCAAGAACGGAAGAAATAGTTCTGTTAGGTGGAAACGATGCAACGAGCGGTGAAATAGCTCGCTTAGTGGGTCAAGTACCTCCAGCGGTTCAAGCGTTGACAGGTGTCGATCTATCGAAGGTAAAACGTTCGTGACACGTGTAACTCGAGCAAAAGTATACAGATTTTACCTTTCTTTATCCTTAGGTTTTAGGAAAAGTACCAGGGGCAAAGTAAGACTTCGTCCATGAAACAAGATCACACTGACCAGGCGAATAATTAATTCGCTAGAATTTCTTCACCTTGAAGCAAAATCTATACTGCCAGACTTCTCTGCTAAATTTCATTATTTACCTACGATATTTCACTTTTTCCTGTTTCCCGAATCACTCTACCTCACGTTCAAATGGAACGAAATCTAATAGAAAGAGAAAGAAAGAAAGAAAGAAAAAAAGAGAAAGAGTAAAATATAAAAAGAGAAAGAAAAGTACATTTCAATTTATGTTTTATACAGATTCGTTGATATTAAAAATCAATTTTATTATCGACAAATGTAATTGATTTTTAGTGACAGTAAGCATCCAACGCACAGTTAAATACTTTTGTTCTCTTCTTCTTTTTCTTATTTATCTTATTTTGTTCCATTTTATATTATTCCGGATTGAAAACGTTTTGCATTCCTCTTATTACATAGAATCCGACACATTCAATCATACTCGTATATCTCGCGTTTCTTCCTTTCGCAAACAAAGACAAATCGAATTGTTTTGTCAATTTCATACAAAAAAATACGCACGTATGTAAGTATATAACAATTTAAGACTTAGACAAATTTTCAGAAGTGCTCGATCGAAATTTGTAAACGTCGTTAATAATTTGTAGACGATTCAACGACGAAACACTAAAAGAAAAAAACATGCCAAAACGTGGCATATGAAATATATCTATTCTTATTCGCCTTTGGATATTTAGTAATTAAAATTGACTAGCCATTAATATTACGTAGGAATCAAACGTAACGCCATTAAGTTTACGAGTCTATTGTGATTGAAATTTTCGATCATTGTGTTCAATCTATGGCTTATGAATAAAATTAACCAAAAATAAAGAGAAAGGAGAAAGAGAAAGTGTAGAAACGCGTATGAGATTAGGTCGGAACTTTTCTTAGACATTTGTATATATTTTAATTAATCGTATGTATGTATGTATGTATATACATGCGTACAAAGTAATTCATTTAAAACAAAGAATTGCAGATACAAAATATAAAATAAATATTTCTAAAACATTAATTAACGGACAAGAATAAACAAAGAATGGAGAGAAAAAATAAATAGAAAGAAAAAAAAAGATATAAGTATAATAACTTCAATTTCTCAATAATTATTAGATTTCAGTCATGTAAGTGATTCTTATCTCGTAAGATACATGACTTTAAATGAAACACTGTGTACGATAATATAAACTGAGGCTCTCCGTTTTCAAAAGAGGAGATTCTTGTTCTAAATCATCGCGTTATAAGATCCATTTGCATACTCTTGATATTTTCTACGTATCGGAACTAAAACGGTTTTTCAAATGGATAATGTATTATTCCAAATAGAAAAAGTATGTTAATCTGTATGTATATACCAACTCTAAACAAGAAAAAGATAAGACGGAAAGATAATAAGTAATTCACTGATCGAAATTAAGATCTGATATTTTTCACAAAAGAAGATCTCAAGAATACCAAAGAACAGATCTTTCAATTTTTGTCTCCTCCGAATACATCGTATGTAAATACATCTCTGAAAGGGAAGTTGGGTGTCGTATGATTGTCAGCCATGAAAAAGTCTTCCCAAAATAAAAGAAACAGAAAAAAAAAATAAAACAAAAAATAGTGCGCGTTTGCTGCAGTACAAAAAAAAAAAAAAAGAAAAACAAAAAATAAATAAATAAAATAAAACAATAGTGTCCTTTTCAATGGCACTCGACGAACTTAACTAATAAGCGATCTTATATACGACCAAAAAAGACGAAAGGTCGTGAATTCGTTGAAAATAATCAAATTATACACTTTCTTCGAAGATTGTAGCATGTATCAAAGAAAAAAAAAAGAAAAGATAAAATATTTTTCAGCGAACAATTAGTGGCGGCCGTTCCGATGCATAGTAAAATACGAGTTCTCAATTTGCTTAAATATATATATGTATATATACACACATATATACATATACACATAGTTTCAAAGGTACTTCGAGCGAGAATAAGTCTCGTGCGTAAGACACACATACACATTCACACTCACACTCACGAGGTGTCTTTAAAAATAATTTTAAATAAAGGATTAAAATCGAATCTTGTGAAAAGTGTGTTCGATTGTATGCTCGATCGACGGTAAGAATTGTAATTCAATTCCGTCGAAAGAGATACTCAAGCTTAGGTAGCTTAAAATGATTCGATGATAGCTTTCTCATTTAAAAATAATACCATCAAAGTTTTAATCATCGCTTCCAAGATCGCTCCAACTAATTGTAAGTGGACTCTATTGTGAACATTTTTAGCAATTTTTATTTTACTCATAATCAGTCTTACTTTTATTATTTTTTAACTTTATCGCAAAACAGTTTCCTTGTTGATATTTTATATATTTTTTCGATTTATATTTCTTTATTTTTCTCGTTATTTTTTTACCCTTTCGCTACAGCAGACCCATAAATTTTCTCTTTTAGATAAACATAATGGAAAATATGATAAAAACAAATTAAAAGATAAGAAAAAAAATGGAAAATAAGTAATGCGCTGTCATAGAAATATGATATATGAGCCACTCATTTACATAATCGATTAATTCCAGAAAACAAAAAGTAGAGAAAATTATTAAAGTAATATACATTTACGTATCATTTATTATTGAACGATCATAAATAATGGTGTTAAGTCTAATTATTAAGGAGATTGATTTTAAACATATAATGTTAAGTATTAATGAAATGCTTTAATAATAAAATTTGAAAAATTTCAAAAAATAGAGTTAATCGAATTGGCTTGAACAGCTCATATATCTAAAATTATTGATATGTTTTCAATTGAATATATTCTATCTAAATCTGTGCAGACTATATCAAACGTATATATATATGTGCCTATAGTATTATATGAAGAGTGATTCTTTTAGTGAGCATATATGTATATATACATATATTTGTCCATAGCAGCGAAAGGGTTAAATAATATAACGTTAACTTAAACGGTATGTTTTTCCGCGATGACAAAGTTAATGCATTAGATTTAATCTTTTAAAATAACAATTTTACACAAATTAGTAGTATTATTAAATACGGACTCGTTCGAGACTAGCTAATCCAATTATTTACGTTTAATGTGATCAAATCTGCATTTCTAATGCAGTATTTAAGCAATTAGTTTTAAGATATTCATTTCATCGTTTTATATTGATGTACTACTCTTGTTGTTAGTAAAACGATCTTATTATTAATCCGTTTTATCCGATATTACAATCATTATTATGATTTGTTTTGTATCATTGTAACTAACACAAAGAGAACATTAGTAGTTGCTTGTATTGGACAATGAAATCATTTTTATTATACTCCAAATGTAAATTCGAAGCAAGATTGTATATTTTTAATTTATTAGAAGATTGTTTTATAGGATTAATATTATTATATTACTATTATTATTTTAATTATTATTATTAAACATTCCGCTTCATTTATTTTCGTACACTTTTATTTGTAGATGGTGATGGTGATGATGGTAATGGTGATGATGATAATGATAATGATAATGATAATGATGAGTTGTCCAATAATGACGACAATGATAATATAAAGGCATCCAATGATTATAAATCTCTGTATAAATCAAGATAAAACATGTAGGATGAATGAGCGATTGATTATCTGTCTGTTTTTTTTTTTTTTATCTTTCTCCTCTGTGAGATTCACTGTGTAGGATTTTGCTATATACAGAAAAAAAGAGATCTGTATAATAAGTAAAAAGTAACGATATATTATGTCGTTTGCTTATTATTTGTTACGTTCTCTTTTATGTCAAAGGACCAATCAAAAAAACAAGCTAACAACCAAAGTTTTAATATTATTTGGACGCACAATTTTTTAAAGTTCTTTAATCCAGTTTTATTCTCGTTTGAATACACGATAACAAGGCAGATTTCATAATCTCTTGCTCCATATACTCGATATGATTCCTTATCATCTTCAGCATAAATACTTTCGTATATATCTAATGTAAATGTTAAATTTCGAAAGTATAAAGATCTTAGTTGCGTAAACAATTTAACAAACAATAGCCTACATTTTAAAATTCTTTAAAAGTCACTTTTCATAATACAATAAAATAAATTTGATAATCATTGGCCCATATAATTGTTCTAAAATAATCTATATATCGTACTCTAAGAATCCGAAACTTGTGTGATGATTACTTTAAAATATTCTATCTTTGATAAAATCTTTTTATGATATATCATAATATATAGATATATGTTGGCGTTAAATCGTGGAAACCCTAGGTCTTACCCAGAATAACTAGACGTTTTTGGAAAAGCATATAAAAAGAATTTTATTATATACCAAAACTAATAGTTGGTGGGAATAACGAGGTTATAGACAAATTCACAAGAGGCGAGTAGTTAAAGTATAGGTATATTCAAAGTTGATAAAACAATAGGACTAACAAAAAATCTATTTTCAAAGGACAGAAAGAGATAAAAACGTATCTACGAGCATTCATTGCTCGCGTTTAATCTATTTCGTTTTCTTAATTTTCGAAGAAAATGTAATTTAACTCTTTAAATCAATAGAAAAACTCAATCTCGAGATTAGATAACCATCGCTTGGAAGGCCTTCAAACGAAAAACACGTATTTTCTATCCCTGAATTTATAACAGTACAGTATAAACACAGGTATTTTGAAACAAAATCGAAGAATGTTTTTCTTATACTTGAGATCAACTCTCGTATCTTAACTACTTGCCTCTTGTAAATTCATATATTAACTAATTGAAGTATATAATTCTGCCTTTTTGTTCATATTTAAATAGGCCAGTATAGTTATTTCTGGGTTTAGCTAGTCATTTCATGAATCAGCAGATTTGACAAAGTAACGCCGGTATATATATATGTACGTACATGTGTGTGTATGTTTTTTTTTTATGCATTTTTACTCGTCGAAAGCTTTAGTCGTGAAATATATTGCAATTAAAGCTCACCATTGTAATTACACAGAATGTGTACTTTGATATACATATGTGTTAATATTATTCTTATTGTATACGCGAGCACATACATGTTATGTTGTGTGCAAACAAATCTAGTTTGAAGAAAAAATATTAATATTATTATTACTATTATTACTATCATCATCATTCTACTCTTATTCTTATTAGTATTCTTACAGTTTTTCTTCTTATTATTAATATTGCGTTTGCCCAACCGTCGTACGAACATATGCACGTTCACTTGCCATTTTTTCTTGTATAAGAAACGAAAAAAAAAAAACGAAAAAAATTGAAAAAAAGAGAAAATAATTGTGTGAAGATCGTTTACATAATTTTTCATAGGCAAGAATTAGTACGCGATATCTCGCGACTAGACATTACCTGTGAATACGACCAAAAATAAATTTAAAAAAGTATAAAAAAGAAAAGAAAAAGAAAAGAAAAAGAAAAAAAAGACGAAAAGAGATGATACTGATATCTAGTTAGAAATTCAAAATTTACCAAAGTGTTTAGGATGAATTAAGCTAGTCTTTTGTAAACTACTAACATAAAATAATATATATAATATATATATTATATATTAGGCGTAACAATTAATTCGGTGCCTTCTTAACAAATTTGATCTTTATTTATAAAATAATTATACATCTGTTATTCTTTGACCCCATTATGTTCAATAACTTTGGTCATCGAAATGACGGTTATAAAATGACGGGCGATTATTTACATTCAAATCAGTTATGAATAATTTAATATCAAGACACCGAATTAATTGTTATATATCCTTAATATAATATATTTATATAAATACTATGTATAATATTTATATAAATATATTATATATAAACATACACATATATATATATATATTTTCAGAATTATGTGCTAGAAATGTCTGAACGCGTAGATAGAAGACAATATAATAACTGTGTCATGTTCTACTCTAATTGAAAGTAATGAAATACGCATTGTGAATTAGCGCATATTTTTAATAAATGGATCGTAAAATAAACAAGCCCATCACGTATATGATATGTCCACCTTTTAGGGAAGAATTTGATCGTAGAAAAATATTGCTCCATTATAGATGTTATTCCTTTTGAATGATATCCTTCCTTGATTTTTGTTTTATCTTCATGGCCATTTTGATTCTAGGTATATCTATGAAAATGTATAGTTTAAATATATAAAATATAAATATTATAGACGAATTCATTAATGAATCTGTCAATAAACATTGTATACATAATATTTTATACAAAGAATTTCAAAATAATTTGAGGTTATGTGATAATCTATCAACTGATATTTTCCTAATATACTTTTATTTTATTCACGAATAAATATAACATTTCTTTGTATTCTAACAATTTACAGAATCATTAACTATAAAGCAATCTATTGGTCGTGTAATAAGTAAATATGCAGAATTTTTATACTTAATGAATTCTTGCAAACGTAATTCAGTTATATATGAAATAAAATTATCTAGCATTAGTAACGCATACATTTACAAATTGATATCCCTTAATGTTTTAGTGTTTTCTTTCTTTTTATTTAAAGCAATGACAGTAAATAAATAGTCAAGGAAACTTTTTACTATAGATGACAAAATTAAACCTAAAACGTTATATCTTTCGTTATAACAGAACATACAATAATGTCATTATTTGACATTCTCCACGTAGCAATAGATAAAGAGAACTGAATGAAATCTGAATGCTTGTCACTCATACAAAATTACTTATAGTATTTCCATGAAATCGATCTATCGATGCATGTATATTCAAATCAAATCGTTAATAATCACTCTCAAGTATGTAACATTATCAAATCGCAAAACGATAAATATTCTAAAGAGACCTTAAAACTAAAAATTGCAGATTCAGTAATTTTTGTTCTTATAAACAAATGAATATTTTGCTTTGCCAGTAATGATCAATTATTATAAGGATTCAAACAACACGATTTTATTTTTGAAGATTTTACAAAATTGGTTTTCTCTAAAAATTTTGTCGAGGAAACCTATCATATATAAATGATTTCGTTTTTCTAATTTGTCAAACACATATCTAATATAAGATTACATTGTGAAATAATAGTTTAATTATGAAATCATATTTTGTGATGTACATCGAGCTTATAAAACAAACGCACAATATTTACTTTTCCTTTGATTTTATTACAAAAACATTGATTTTTTTTTTGGACACTTAATGATTTTATTCATCATTATTGAGAAAAAAAACATGGCTGTAACCGTTGTATGCAGGCTGAAAATGAGTGTTTGCAAATTTGTATCACATGACACTAACTTTGATTATAAATATAGACATTTATGTTATTAATTACATACAACTTCTAAGTACGCATCCACATTATGTTAAATATCATAAATATATATATATATGTGGGTGTGTATATATATATATATATGTATATACGCTTACGCGTATGTTGTAAGAGTGTGTAATAATATATAATGCTTAGTAACTGTACACTACACATTTTATAAAAGTTTCACTAGCAATTGTTTGTCTTAATGACGTTATATATATATATAAGTTAAAATTATAATTCCAAATACTGGCAAAGCAATTCCTGATCTTTGTATTGCGCAATTATTTTATCGTATGTCTTTTACTCTCTACTATTCCCCAACGTTGTTTTTTATGCAACGAAAGTGACGATTGCATGTAATTATTAGAGATGAATGATTGTAACCTTCTTCTTTATTAACCCTTCTACACCAATCGTTCTGTAGTCTTGTTATATAATGAAACTGAGTCGTATATATTATGCCTAATATTCAGTAAAGCACAGTTAGGCATATTTCATTGAAATATATACAGGAAGTTTCATAAATGCATGTTAATACTTTAGGGGATATATTTACATACTAACAAATAAAAAATGCCCGATACTTGTTTCTAACTTACAGAATATTTTTCAAATCATCTGTAAGTTAGAAACAAGTCCTGGTTTGATAAAAGCTGTTATACGTTTTATGCATTAAGTCTTGACCTTATTTAATGTTTGTTAATAATGTTCATCGACATAAAGCATACTAAATTTTGTGCAGTCAGTGTTTTGTTCTCGCGAATAGCGTAAGCGGTATTCAGTAGGTTCTGAAATCGAGAAAATAGTTTCACATACTTATCCTACTATAACCAATATTTAATTCATTTAAAATTGTTACAAATAGAAATGAACTGAAATTAAATCGATTATATTAATAATGAAATTTTACATATCATAGAATGTTTTCACCTATTCATGGTTATGATTAAGGTAAAAAAATTCGACATATATTGACATAACATTTTTTACTCTTTTTTAAATATATATATACTTCTTAAAGTATTGGCATTTATGGAACATCCTGTATATTGTAAATTACTTAATATTTTTTATAACTCTGATACCTCTGGTGTAGAAAAACTTAAATGTCCCGATTAATCTTACACGATCTATGTTGGAAACTAGTAGATTGTAGCGTTTTTATATAATACTTCATTCATATTGTCATATGGACTGTTCTCACGCAAAAAGCATTGAATTCGATATTTTTCTTTACAATTAAATTATAATAATCAAGGCTATAAAAGCACATAAAATGAATTAAGCTTTTCTCTTTAATCTTCACATTAAATAAGAAAATTGTTTGATTTTATTATAATGTTCTACGTGGTTTTACTAATAATTCTATAAAGTGAAAACTTAATGGAGATAATTATATTTCTTTTGTGTAATCAATTTTCTATATCTCAATTATGATACAAATTTTATCACATATTTACTAGTACATACGATTAAATCAGCAATAGCGTACTTCTTACAAGCTGTGTTGGACTCACTTGTAAAAACTGCATGATCTTTACTCTTTCATCGTACCTTTAAATATTTTTCATTATCATATCAAAGTATATGCTATAACTTTGCTATTGTTACATTATAGAAACTATAGTATATGTGTGCATCAGTTGTTAAGAAGTTTGCTTTAACTTATATTCAGACAAATTTTAAGGGATGCAAAAAATTGTTGCCAGATTATAACTTATAATTTAAATTAATTTCTTCACTCAAAATTAGGAAAATTTGTAAACACGAGTTTAATATAATTTTAACATGGCCGAAGTTATTTATGTTTAAAGTGGTTTTGTAGTACGGAAAATGATATTTTTTTCTACATTATAGGAAAACATCAAGATTTAATAATTAATCTCACATTTCATTAGAAGAATCACTATTGGAGGTACTTCCAGTTGATGACGAAGTGGATGATGATCTGCTACTGTTAGATTCGTTAGCAGCCCTGTAAAATATAGTAGACATACATTGTAAGTAATTAGATAGTTAAACTAAGTACATTTCATTTTAGTAAATTGTTACCATACCTAAAGAGAGCAGCTAAACTAGGTCTAACAGTATCTTGATTTGCTTCTGCAGTACTTTGATCACCTAAACTTTGTCTGCAAATCGGGCATGTTCCATGCTACAAAAAATTATAATACGTATCAATTAACATCATTTTTTAATATAAATATTTAGAAAAAATATTATCAGATACTTACAAGTTCAAGCCAAGGTACGATGCAAGGGGTATGATAAAAATGTTGACATGGAAGTTGTCTAACTGGTTCAGCTAATTTAAAGTCTTCCCAGCAAACGGAGCATTGCAATTTGCTATCTGTATACGAAAATTTAATACAGTAAATTTACAAATGGTTTAATATAAATGACATTTTACAATTAAGTATCACTTACCAACTTGACTTTGTGTTACTGCTGTCTTAGGTATAGCGTCAATTTGTTTTTGTGGTAAAGGAGGTGGTCCAGTTCCATCCATTTGATTCAATAACTGTGTGACAATAGCATCCAATCCATCCCGACCCCAAACATAATCTCCAGGGTTTCCCAAGAACAGTCTAATATTGAATCTATATTATTCGATTTTATTTTAGTAATACTAATATAAAATAAAAAGACAATAGCTTACGTTTTGAGTGATTGACATTATGATTGAAATAATCTGGAATTTTACAAATATTAAGGCAAAATTAAAATCTAACCTGTGATCTTATGAGGACAAGCACATAAATGGTATTACGAATGTCTTCTATTTTTTAATTAGTACATATTTCATGAATATATGCAAACACGTGAGTTAACATAATGAAGATAAAATTTTCTTTGTAAAAATAACCAGTTATTGTCAATGTCTATAACTTATGTGTGATATTTTACAGTGCTTTTTGTTACAATATTTTTATTTTCGAAATGATTAAATGACATTACAAGATCACAATTCTGGCAATATATAGATGTAGATATTAAAATAATTCTTTGCTAAAAAAGTTACTATATTCATATATAGTGACTTTCAAAAATATTCGGACATTGCAGTATAACTGACTTTATAGATTGATATTTCGATTGTTTATGAGGTCATCGTCTTAACTATTGTTTCTGGTAAAAGTCATTATGTATTAACATTGATAAACATACATAAAAAACAAACATACGGATATTATTCAGTCATTTCATAGTGAGAATCGCATTGAATCCATTCTATAAACTGGAAGATCAAATCTTTTTAAATACGAGGGAGAAAAAGGAAAAATTGTTCAAAAAGAGGAAAGAAAATCCACAAATAAATGTTCCATAAATGTTCCATAAGTAGTTAGCGAGTTATTAGAAGAAAGCTCCAAATACATACATGTGGAAAAGTCAATTATCTAAAGAAATGAGAGTAAAAGTAAAGAAGAGGATAAGGAAGAAAAAAACGCGAGGCAGGTAATGAAGTATAGTAGTATAAAGTAGAGCGATTACTTTATAAACAATCGAAATATCAAGCTGTTAGGTTAGTTATACTACAGTCCGACATTTTTTGGAAGTCACTGTAATCATATTATAACTCGAGCAATAAAATGCAAACAAAAAATAATAAATGAATAATACTAGAATGTTTAGACATTTTAAAAGGAAGCCAGCATAGAAAATAGAATGCCTATAAAAATATTGAACAAATTTGCATGCATAACTATTAGAATGAAAAATAATAGGGGAGGGGGGTATTGTGTATTAGATAAAAAAAAAAAATACTTTGATTTTTGATGATAAGCAATTATAATATTTAAAATGTATTTGGAAGCACTACATACACAGGTGGTTGTCCATCTTGTGTTACTGGATGGCCTAGACCAGCTCCTGACAAGTTAAGTATGAAGTCTTGAATAAAATTTTCAATAGGTATTGCTTCTTGCCTTCCACGATTGCTGTCAAATCAATACATTGAATTATTAACTATTGCATAATATTAAATATTATGCAAAGAAATTTGTTATTGTAAGTGAATTTATCAATGTACCCAGAATAGTATCATAAAACTTAATGCAACATAAAGCATAGAAAATGTGTAAACTCTTTGGAATATGATTCAGCTTTCTATATTTGTTTTATTAATTTCTTTTTTGATATTTTTATTTTCAATAAATATATGTTATACATTCTTAAGTCATTTAACTCATTTGTGTATATTTGAATACAACACAGCCTAGCATAACAAGATACAGCAAAACTTGGTACACTACATTACAGTATAGCACTCATCTACACACATATGCACTTTATTACTTTCACTATACAAGTATCAACTATTAAATATTGGAAATTTTATAATTTCCATTTTTTTTTTTTTTTTTTAATTAACCCTTCGAGTGCTATGGATGTATATATGTGTTTCATAAAAGTTTACAAGCATCGACTGTGGGTGCATATGTGTGTTTGTTAATATGAATGCAAAGAATGCAATGTCGGTTTGTATATTGATAGCTATTTCAAGTCTTATCATACCAAAATTATGCTTGACAAAAACTTTCTTATGTTATTTAATTTGGAAGAACTATGATTATAATTTATTGTTAGCTGTGCCTAATGTAATAAATCAATAGAACTTAAACTAACAATAAAGTATTCCATCCCTATGAAGTACTTCAACTTAGAATATTTAACATTCAAAGAATTAAATATTTTTAAATAATATCATAAACTATGGAAATACTGTAACTGTATCAAATAAATCAAACATATAATTAGTGTACTAATAATGATAAAATGTGATGTTGCCTCAAGCATGCTTCAATCTAAAAACTAATGTATTATTTATATTTACATGATTAAAATGTTTGCAATACAAGCAATCTATATTAAGAAATACTTTCTAAAAGCAACTATTAATTTTTTTTTATGCAGTTGTGAGTCAAAAAATAAAAAATGAGTTTATAAATAGCGGGCGATAGGTGAGCGCATAAGTTTGTATGATTAATCGTAGGCAATATAAATTAAAAAATAACTGAATTAGTTTATATTTATACTTAAATATTTTTTCATTGTAATTTGAAATTTACTGAATTATTTGTGTTCGATTAATGAAGTATTTTCTTAACAAACTTAATTTATTGTCAGATTAATCATACAAGCCTTGTAGGGTTATCATGTCAGTAAATGGAATACCGATGGCGCAGAAGCCCAGTGCGGGAAGGAAGTGCAGTGTACCTGCCAGAGCGACGAGTATCTGGTGTATTGCGTGACCAGCTAACTCGTCTTCTGCCTTCTAACGTATTGCTTCTGTTACCTGCACGTGGTTGCATATTGAGGGTAGGAGATTCCAATATCATTTCTACAAAATCACGATCAGTAGGGTAACGCTGTAACAGTAATTAAGAAAGAGAAATTACAATGATAATACTGGTTTGATTTTGTGTATCTTTTAAATTGAAATATTTTATTTATTTCAATTTATTATAATTTTTAAAATAATTTAAAGAGAAACTCTATATAAGTTATACGACTCACATTATAGCCTGGAATATCAATAATATCAATATCACTTAGGTCTTCGCCGCTTATATCCATCCCAGAACCATTGTCGTTGGTTCCAACCTCCAATTCTTCTATAAATCCACATGAACATCTTGGACAAGTGTAATCCTATTCAATATTTAAGAGAGTTAGTTAAAGTTATCAAAATTAACAAAGACTGTAATTGCAAATAGTGCAATTGACTAAAGCTATAGCATATCTCATAGAAATAAAGCATATATCCAAAAATCAATTCTTGCTTGTGTAATCTTCAAAAATAAAATGATCTTTATATTCTAAATAATTATTTTGTAACATATAAAGCTTCTATAAATATTTATTTTTCAAAATCAAAAATATATATATATAAGTATTTTCAAGGACATGATAGAGAGTCTAAAGTACAAATACTAATATATAGTACTGATAATATATACATATTACGGAGAACTTTATTTGCATTTCATTGATAAAATTAAAAGTAAACGCATTATATTTTAAAACTCTATTATCATGTTTTATATATATAATAGAAAGATTGTTGTTTATTAATATACTTATATTTATTCATTTTTTCATATCATGTAGTATGTAGGACACGGTAAAAAAAGAAAAATAAGGTATAACTGTCATTTATGCTTATGACAATACTGTCAATTTGACAGTCAGTGTACAAAATTAAATGGCACGTAGTATAGGAAAGAACCATATTATTATTGTTAGAATGGATGCACGAACTAATCCAAAAATGTACATAAACGTTTTAGGTTGCATGATAATAAAGACTATTAACGTCGAAAAAAGTATTTAACGACAAATAGACTTTTGCCTTTTAATATAATGTTATACCTATCGGTTAATAACGTAATTAAGGATTATTTATTTTTGAGGAAAAAAAGGTTTAATTTTTGTGGCCAGAGAAGATTCTTGAAGATTATTAAAGTACGAACATTGATGAACATGGCATTGTTTCTGATAGAGGGGTCAGGCAATAGGAATTTTACACATGGTTATAATGACAACTTGCAGATTGATGTTGTACTTTCGCTGATCATATTATAAACACGCATACTAGTTACATCAACTACAAGCAACATTAGAGCATACTTACGGGTTGCAAACACTCAATTTCATCAATGCATTTATGGCAATAAAAACGGGACACCGGAGTCCCGTCCACAACGGCTTCAGCCATGTTTTACGTGTCCTTCTCTCTCTTCTTCCCTAGTTCCTAAAGTGCGTAGTCTGACTCATATAGCAGAAGTAGATGGCATAAACTACACGTAACTTCGAGATACTAAGTTCCTGCTCTGAGGATGGCTAGCGTGTGTGCAGTAGTCATATGCATTATTATTAGATGGCGTCATTTTATTTCAGTAAATTATGTAATAATATATCTTTAAGGATATTTACTCACAAAAATTAAAAGGTTGTGTTTTGTAATAGATAGATTGACGTTACACTTACCCATTATTATCGTCGACGTGTCGTCGTCGTCGTCGTTGTCGTTGTCGTTGTCCTTATGCGATTACAACGACATAATTTTTTATTCCCTATCCAAGTTCGTCTTTATCAATTGAAGGTAAATCGTTTCTGACATTTGATATACCCTGATCACTACTTTTATTCAATACGTCAGCATATCAAATTATTCTTCCCTATACGTTATTTCTATTGGTCGATTCAAATTGGTCCATGAAAATAAACCAATCCAATTGGAAGTTGTATAACAACCAATATTAGTTGTGTTTGTTTTAACTTCTATTATTTTACAAAGGAAATGTCATTTTGCGAGATAATATATATATTTTTTTTTTTTACGTAGATCTTATATTTATAAATATATCTATTTTTATAGTATTTCGTCTGATAACTTTGCAAAGAACATTAAGAAAGAATTCTACACTTTCTGTTTGTTAAGGATTTAGCAATCTCATCGCTAGTGTCGTACATAAACGTTGGTAACGACGTTCTGATTATAAAATTTCATAGCTTTGTTTCAAATTGTTGTAAATTCATTTAAGTATTCCTAATGAATATTTATTACGAGGAATAAAATTATCTTGTTTACCTTATTCTAACATTTTTAACACTTTTTACGTTGGAAATGTTTTAAGAGAGAATATGAAAAGTAAAAAAAATAAAGAAAAATAAGAAAAGTGAGTATCGTCAAGGTGCTACTGTAGAATTATGCAAATGACTTGCTGAAGAATTGTTTTGGTATTTGCTTTAGCTATATGATATATCTTTCAAAAAATTAATATTTAATGAAAACTTCATTTATATTGGTCAGAATTAATTTCATACGATTATGGTATCGATATCATTCGAGAAAATATCCTAGTTATCAACTGACTCGTGTCGGTATTTCAAATTATTTTTTGATAATATCGCGAATTTATTCATAGCAAAGAATAGGGAAGTACATAAAAGCTCCCAAGTTCTTTTTCCCCTAACCAGAGTCATCTTAGTTAGTACCCTGACCACTAGTGGGCGATAGTAGGTACTTAACGTGATGACGGTACAATACTGTTAAAGAATATAGTATTCTACCTACTATCATCCACTGGTGGTCAGGATACTAACTAAGATGACTCCGGTTAGGGGAAAAAAATGAGCTTGTAAGCTTCTGTGTACTTCCTGCATTCTTTGTTCATAGGTATATACTTTTTTCTATACATCTTATCTACTTTACCGTCATTTGCATCTTACTATGATACCTGACTCGACTCAATCTCTCAAAATCAAATACTATTATTTATAGTAATTTGATATATATAGTGATTTTAAATCACACATATTTTCCCTGTTGATAGAAAAAAATTAGATCTATTTACTAATCCTATAAGTAACAGTAAATGCGTTTATACGATACGATTTTTTGAATATATGTACGTCCATTTTCTTTTCAACATTTTAATATTTGTTTTCTACTTAAACAATTGAATATTGAGTTTCCAAGATCATTACTGAATCTATCAATAAAATAATGAAATCGTCTTAATGCTGTCATTACGATATACATACGTCATATTACCAAACGTTCTGCTTTTTTTTAAATCAATTTTTTACCAAGTTTTACTGATACAAGTAAATGTAAAAAATTACCAATTCAGTGACTTCAATACATACAGTTGATGGGAATATTGTGTGAACGTGTAAGTAAGTATATACAAATTATAGTAAATTTACAATTAGATGATGTAACTACGAAGGCGTGTTATGAAATAAATTAATTATCTTAATGCTAGAAAAGAATGTGTAATAAAAAAAAGGCAATTTTATCAATAATGTTAAATTAAATAGGAAATGATAAATAATATGAAAAAAATTGTAAATAACTTTTGACAGTGAATGCATCTTGATTTTAACTTAATGGTAAACAAAATTTTGATTTAAATTTTGATCATTCTGTATATCGAAGTATTAATAATGATTAAATATTAATTATGACATTTAAATATTACTTATTTTCGGTCATTTTCACATACCTCCCACATCTTTAATCTACATCTAAACAATAGAAAAATATGTTATGTTAAGTTTGTCAAAAAATGCTTTGTAGTTTGGCTTCCTAAGATTGGGACATCCTGTAATAATATAATAATATAATAAATAAAATATTTGCGTTACTATATAGATGATCGTAAAATAGCCTGCTCGGACAAAATATTAATTCGGTGTAATTACAATATATTTCATTGAAAAAATTCCAGGAAAACTTCTTGCCGTCTGGTGAATGAGAAACATTGTTCTGCATTATATTTTGTTGTTAAATAAACGAAAACTTCAGAATCTAAATATTATTTATTTGACAGAACTTCGTATTACATATTTTGGACTATAAGTCATCGAAAGTTTTAAAAGAAAAATGATAAGACGTTTACTTTATCAATATGTTTTTAAACGGACATCTACGTTTACTCTTGGTATAGTCGTAACAAGTTTGATCTTTGAACGAACTTATGATTACCTTTGCGAAACCATTTTTGAGCGGATAAACGATGGAGTGAGTGATATATATAGATTTTCATTTTTGTTAGAGGATATCAGTGATGCACTATCAGAGAAATTAAAAAGAAATTCTAGTGATTAGTTACACTTCAAAGCACAATTCAGAATTTGTATTTGAATAATTCAAAAATACATATGTGGTTGAGATAGATTTTGTGAACAAATTTTCTGCTTAAAAATTTCAGATTATTAGTTCTCTGTGTGTATCTGTTAATTAGAAAAAAAAACCATAATTAATGTTTAAATATTTTTTTTAGTCTCTTTACATTAATCGTAAGGATCAAATGGTTAGTGCGAATATCTTTTTTCTAGAGATTATGGATGCATATAAAACATCGATATGAAAATCCTTCCGTATTTCCTGTCGTTGAAGAAACAGGAAGTAAACAAGAGTCGCCTGATTTACAGCACACCGATATTATAAAAGAAATTTCCGTCGAGAAAAAAACTGATTCAGTTGAATAGATAATTTTTGTGTGTTGCGGCAATATGAGTGCTCTGTTCGTATAATAATCAGATCTTTTGAATTTGTTACTCTTAAAAACAACTTGTTAAATACAATGTTAAATATAACTTAATAACAACTTAAAGTTGGATTCACAGTTGAAAAATATTTGTGTTTATGAATTTAAAATTTATATCATAATCGCTAAGGATAACGATATGTACACGTTTGTGTATGAAATAACGACACGATAAAGGACATAAATAAAAGAAGTCACGCTAAGGTTTAAAGATGATAGCCGAATTTTGAAGAGAAAGTTTCAATGAGATATAAATATACAAGTGGATTCGAGTAGCAAAACGAATACTTGATCGAGTGGCTAATGTACATGTAAAAATTGTCAAAAAAAAAAAAAGTGTAAAATAAATTTTACGAATATTTGTTGATTGATCGTTGTTTGTACCTTTTATTTATTCCATTGGTGAAAACTTATTAAATAAGAGAATAAACAATTCGTTCATCCGTATTATACAGGTAAATAAATTTAATTCAAAGTCACTAATTCATATTAAAGATATGCTTATCGTTTTAGAAAAATTAAAAAACTTGTTAAAATTACATAGCTTAAATTATAAAAGCTTACATAGCTAAAAGTATAAAAAATATTTGCCGAAACTTTTCGAAGAAATGGCAAAGTAGGAAAAATTTGCAGCATCGCATTCATTGCCATTTTATGAACCTTTTCAGATTGATTTATTATTCGAAAATGTATTCTGCGCGTAGATAAAAGAGTGTACTTTAATTTAATATAAAAATCATTAAAATCCATTTGCTAAAAGTATGAAAAATATTTACCGAAACTTTTCAAAGAAATTGCAAAGATGCACAATTTACAGCATTGCATTCTCTGACATTTTCTGCACTTTACATTTGATTTTCATAACTCTACAAAGTATTCTACGTGTAGACAAAAGAGTGTACTTTAATTTAATATAAAAATCATTAAAATTATAATAAAATTTTTAATTACAGATCGTATTCATCATGTGGAATTTAAATACATCTATCATTGTGGTGGCTTTTATTAGTAGAATTATTCCCGATTTATTTGCTATAACAATATCTTTTAATTCGATAAATTTCGAAGAAGATCTCAGTTTCAACTTTGAGGAACCGATGGACAGATGCAACAATCCGTTACATGATACTGTAAACCTTGTTGACATGGGTGTAAAGATAGTGAGAGACAATTTTATCTCTAGCAACACCTTGAGATCTATCAATCTCGAGGCGAATGAAATTGTAACTATCTCTCAGAATGCTTTTGATTTAGTTCCAAATTTGTTTTGTCTCAATATTCGATGGAACAATATGACAAATATATTAGACAACTTTCTACCATTATTTAAGCACCTAGCATTAGGCAAATTAAATTTAGCTCATACAGCATTTAAAAATGTTCTCGACGATTTTAAGGATTTGGATTTGGCAGTTTCCAGTAGGGAAATTGAAGTATCATCAAGAGGTCGTCTACCCAGTCTAACCCATTTAGATATTAGTGACAATGATTTATTCGAAATACCGGAATATTTCGAATCTTCATTTCCTCGGTTGACGCACCTGTATTTGTCGGATAATAAATTAAGCAGTAGCTCCTTCCGTTATATACCTGCGACAACGCAGTATATATATTTGGAAAGAAACCGCGGCAATCTTGAATTAACGACTTTTCCAAGTGGTGTTTATGGGTTAATTTTAAACAATAATTATTTACATTGGAACATCGAACCTGTCAATCTATATCCAAATCTAAGAGTATTATCTATTCGTAATTGCAATGACATTGTTAAAATCATTCAACGTCTTGAAAAAGGAAAACTCTTTGATTTGGATATATCAGTAAACAACTTAGACTATATCGATTCAGAATTATTCAATAATGCGACATCTTTACAACGTTTTTCTTTAGATCAAAATAATATTAAATCATTAAATTTTTTAGCTCCTTTATGTTCCTTAAAAGATTTATCGGTTGCTTATAATAAGCTTATCTATATTTCGGCGAATCTTTTTTCGAATCAAGACTTATTAACTACATTAAATTT